GATGACAGGCTGGCCATGAGCCAGCAGTGTGCCCTTGTGGCCAAAAAGGCCAATGGCTTACTGGGGTGCATTAAAAAGAGCGTGTCCAGCAGGTCGAAGGAGGTGATCCTCCCCCTCTACTCTGCCCTGGTAAGACCTCATCTGGAGTACTGTGTCCAGTTCTGGGCTCCCCAGTACAAAAAAGACAAGGATCTCTTGGAAAGAGTCCAGCGGAGGGCCACGAAGATGGTGAAGGGCCTGGAGCATCTCTCCTACGAGGAAAGGCTGAGTGAACTGGGTCTGTTCAGCCTTGAGAAAAGGAGACTGAGAGGGGACCTGATCCAGGTCTATAAATATCTAAGGTGTGGGGGGCAGAATGGCGAGGCCAGACTGTTTTCAGTGTGAGTGGAGACAGGACAAGGGGAAATGGCCAGAAACTGCAGCATAGGAAGTTCCGCACAAATGTGCACAAGAACTTCTTTACAGTGAGGGTGACGGAGCACTGGAACAGGCTGCCCAGGGAGGTGGTGGAGTCTCCTTCTCTGGAGATGTTCAAGACCTGCCTGGATGCCTACCTGTGCGACCTGCTGTAGGGAACCTGCTTTGGCAGGGGGGTTGGACTCGATGATCTCTGGAGGTCCCTTCCAACCCCTACAATTCTGTGATTCTGTGATTCTGTGATTTTCTGAGTAGCATGTGTCAGGAAAATCCTGAACCCGTTTTGAAGGCATGTTATTGCCACATAGGTGCATGGGTCAGTCTTTTGCAAGGCTAGAAAGGATCTCAGTTTGCCTCAAAGTGTACTTCTGGTTCCTAGAAATACTCTTGTTAAAAGATAAGCAAAACAATGTAATTGTGGATGTCCGATGGGTATTCTAAATGGAGTTAAGTCCTTCTTGTGCATCATGGGAATGGTTATAGAAGAAAAATTCCAGATGGGCTGATCATAAAGCAATTGATTGCTTAATGAGGTTTCAAGCTGGGGCATCTGGGAGAAGAACTGTGGAGCAGAATGCTAAAAGGAAAGGCTGTGTTCATCCTGACTGGGGAAAGCTCATGCCTTGGAATTAGAAAAGTGTCCAGAGTCCCTTACGGAGGGGAAATGGCTTCTTCTTTTGGCCGCTGTTAATTAATGTAAGAATTTCCCAGCCACACTACCTTTGGAATTGAGGGCAAGTTTATGCAGTTTGTTACTGAGTGGGAGAAGGCCTACAGGGAAGCTGTGTCCTCAGGGAAGGGCACTGTGGAAATCCCTTGTGCCTGTGTGAGGGTTTGGTAATATTGGTAATATATATAAATACTACTGTGCAGAGAATAGAGCCAATCTTGAGTTTGTACCATGTGCCATCCATAGAGACTTCTACCTCTGCTGGAGCTATCTTCGTGCTCTGCAGTTAATACAAACAGTGTGCTTAGAAATGCATTGTCTGTGGCAGATCTGACATCACAACCAAATTCTTTAACATAACATATTTAGGAGGAATCGTGTGTCAGCTGCCTAGCACTGAAATGTATGGAATGGAATTAAGCAAATCTTTTCTTAATTAAAAAATGAAAATGGATTCTGAACTTTATCTAAGGGTCACTTTGGGATGATTTCTAGACAGAAAAAATCTTGGCTTTCTGGCAGGACAGCTGTGAGGGAGTGTTCTATTCATTAGTACACAATTTGTCCAAGAAAATATGTTCCAAGTCCTAATCAATTTAGATGAAAACTTACTGGACAGGGTTCAAGCAGGCCAGTTATGGAGTCTTATAAAGCCAAACCCACATGTCTCAGTGGGCAAGAAGCAAGATAATCTTAGCTTACAATGGAATGTTTAAATTTATACTGCTAAGACACTGACACAGGCACGAGGGTTGTGGGGTTTTTTTGGTGTTTTTTTGTTGTTGTTGTTATTGTGGATTGTTCTGGTGTTTTGTTTTTTTTTTTTGTTGTTGTTGCGTTTTGTCTTTTTTAAACAAGAAACATGTGAAGAACTAGAAATTTTAAGAGAGAGTGTGTCCCTTTAAGATATAATCCTTCATAGGGAATGGACTGCAGCCAGGTTTGTCCTCACTTTAGCATCTATAGAAAGTATTTTGGAAGAGGATAGCTTCCAAAGCACTCAAAACGTAGGTGTGCCTTCAATGAAGGTCCTTGGCATCACAGGCTTTTGCAGATCTTTATAATTCCCAGCTGTATAAGGATTATTTTTTTTAATGAACTGCACCAATGGTGAAATACAGCAGTTTGGAGAAACCATCGTACAGTTGGCCCTTGGGAAAGTGATGCCATGCACAGCATTGTTCATCCATTCTGCACTTTTCATGACAACGCAGAAAACCACAGGATAACACCTTCCCCCTCAAAAAAACCCTTCCTGATGTTAATGACCACTATTTTAGGTTTTGTTTTTCTGTCATTATGTTTCTCAGTTGTTGCAGCTACCATTTCAGGCAGCAAGAGGGTACTTAAGTAACTCTGAAACCATGCATGTTCAGAGCCTTGTTAAAAATTCCCAGAGGGATGAGCTATAACTAAGCAATCTTTAACTTAGGAATATTTAATTTCTTCACTTGAAGTGTTTTTTTCTAACTTGTAGAGTCTTTGCCAAGGTTGATCTCCTCTGCAAGTGTGACTCAAATGTGTTTTTAGCAGTAACTAATGGTGCTTAGTAAAAAGCCACATAACAAGTAGATCTCTGTCCTGCCAGCTTACATCCATCTCTTTGCTGATGGATCCTCTTCTCTCCTGAATCCATCACTGGAAAGTGACACATTCACCATTTCTCCCATTTCGTCACTCTCTTCTGGCACTGAAGTCCGTGGAGGCCTTCAAGATTTTTTTTCTTGTTGGATGTGACTGTCTATGCCGCAGAGCAATCCCTCAGTCCTTAACTTGTTGCTTACCAGCTAAGGGCCTGACTTGTCTTTTCTGATTGTGACTCCTGAAACCTGAAGAGGCAGTGAAATACCCCCTCTGCAGGTTCTCCTCTCTCCACCAGCACCGTCCTTAACAAACATCACCCATGCCCCTGTAGCCACACTCTGCTCAAGGGGGATTTACCCCCACGACGGGCTGGAAGAGAAATAAAGGGAATGTACAGTATTGTTAAGCAATTTGTGGTTCAAGTCACAAACTGGGGAGAATCCTCGACTACTGTAAACGCCAGTGGTTCATTGTCTCGCAGCCTCTTCCTTCCTTCACGCCCTGCTCTGCCAAGTCAGCCACCTGAGACTGTGCTCATTGCTCTTGTTTTCCCTGGCTCTTCTCACTTGTTTACTTAAAATCTCTTTTTCCTCTTCTGCCCTTCATTTGAATTTCTTCTGGGAGGGTCTTATAAGGACACCTACTTTTCGCAAGAAAGCTTTAATCAGAATTTCCTGTGAGATAATAGACAGCTCTTTTTTTTTTTTTTTTTTAATGTTTTGAAATAGAAATGTGATCATTTTTCAAATGGCTCTTTCATGAAGTCTGCTTTAAAATAAACGCTTTTGTTACGGAAAGGAATGGTTTTAAGCCAGTTTAAAAATGAACTGTACAGAGGAGAATGGGTGCTTTGGATGCAGCGGGACAGCCAACCACCCAAGGGAAAATAGCCAGTGTTGTGCTGAAACTGACTGCATATTTTCATTTCCAAAATGCAGTCAAGACTAAAACCACCTGTGAGAGAGTCTAACCTCTTGGGCTGGTTGAGGAGGGCCTAGTGTGGAGCATCTTGTCAAAAGGCACGCTTGTTTTCACTAGGCAAATCAATCAGTTTTTGTGGCAGGTCTACAGCTCATTGAGATGAACTCATTAAATCTTTGTGCTACAAACCACAAGTGAGAGGTGCAATGTTTCATTGTTCAAACACAGAGAATAGACAGACATCCTATGGAAAAGTGAGTCATATTCTCTGTAGTACATTCTGTTCATTCTGCTATAATAAACATGAACGTTTGTTTTCTGAGAACATCAGCATCCAACTATAAACTTGATTAGGAGGGTGAGTTCCTCGGCCTGCTTCTGAGCTAGCATGTGCACTGCCGTTGGGTTGCTCAGTTGTGTAATGGCACCAGTTGTGACAGACTGCCTTTCCAAAAGGAAATAACAGTACTTTGCTCATTTCTTTCAAATCCATCCCAAATTTCTATTAAAGACATCAAAGCGATAACTCTAATACTTTCCATGCTTTCTGAACAACTCATCTTCTAAAGAAATTGCTGGAAACAAGGAACCAGCAAGGTTCTTTAATTTCTGGGCTTTAGACTTTTAAGAATCCCCTGGAAAGTCAAAACAAGTCACAAATCCATTTTGTCATGAAACTATTCTCCACGTTTTGTGAGTTTGCATTAATTTCTGTGTTACTAGTTTGAGCTGGGTTGACATGCTACAAAAAATACCAGGAAAGGAAACAGGTCCTTATTCTAGTTGTTGTCTTTCTGATCTTATCTTCATGATTGCAGAAGCTAAGTTATCTAATCAAATACATTTCTTGTTTTTGTTGGAAGATTGTGGCCAAGAGAATGACTTTTAAATAGGATGATGGCTGGCTGCATCTAGAACTAGTAGTGAAATACTACTAGTAGTTGTCTGCTGGAAACAAAGGAAATTCTGGGAAGGAAGTTTCTGTGCAACATAAACAGTGTTTTGGAAATCTGACTCTTGCCCAGTTGTAAGAATGGGCAATGTCTCCAGATTTTTAAATGCTTGCTGCGTTTCTAAGGACTCTAGACGTGATGGGAGGTATTTCTGCTGACTTCAGTGGAAAGAGAACTGTAGATTAGCCATGGACCAGACACTGGTTATAGCTGCAGTCAGTTCTGCTGAAGCGTTTCATCTCTTTCCATAGGATCACTTGCTCATTACAGCTTTGTTTAATGCAGTGCTCCTGGAAGTGAGGTCCCTGTCCTGAGGTATCTGAAAGAAATAACTGAGAACGATCAATATCTGTTGTCTGGCTCTGACAGGCAGGTATTCCCCAGCTCTTGGGGTGCTTGACAGTGTACTAAGGCTTCTCATTTACCTGACTTTTTTTCTTCCACCTTCTGTCCAGACATCAGAGGGGCAGTGGCAGGTGGTACAAGATAGAGCATTCACTGGAAAGCTGTGAAGTAGCAGCATGAGACTGCAGATGAAATGGCAACTTCACTCCTCAGAATAAACATACGTTGGGACACCCAAGTAGGAGGTAAGTAGCTTTTCCTCTTTTATGTAATGTTTGAAAGCATTGGAGTGTTTCAAGTTCTACTGATCATACCATAGGAAATATCTGGTGAGCATTATTTAGCTACATACTGAGAAAAAGATTTATATCTTTAAACCTTGAACAGATCCAGGATGTCTCAGTGCTTTCCCTGGCAAGAACACATGGTTGGTGTTGTTATTTTCTAGGTAAAATACAGGAAGTTTATCTAGTAACAGAGCCTGTTAAATCCAGAGCAGCCTCAAGTCTCATAACACTCCCTACATAGACATGCCTGTGTTGCAGGTGAAAGCACTGCCATCAAAAAAATGGAGAATGAGCTGATTTCTTCTATTTTTACTTTACCTTTCCCCAGTGGCACACTGTCTTCTCATCATGGCACCTGTCACCCCGTGGCCACCTGGCTAAAGTGATCTTATTTTTTCTTTTAATCTGCTGTACGTGCAGCGGGTGTCGGGAGCTGCAGAGGTCTTTGCTGTGATGGCTTCTGGTGAGGCACAGGCCTGCAAGGCTGTTTGGTACTTGCTGCTGCTGGCAGTGTGTGTGCAAGTATCACGTGGTATCTGTATGGGCAGGAGCATCTCTTCCAGTATTTATTGTTTGATTTGCTGTTTCTCACACTCTTGTGAAGAAATGCATAGTTGCTTCCTGCCTTGATTTATCTGTAGCACAGAAACAGGGAGATTCCCAGGTTACCCAGAGCTAAATGTTCAATTACTCATAGCTCTATGCACCCTGGAGCAAAAGATGAGCTTTGAAGCTGCATACCATCATTTCTGTGATTTAAACATCAGAGGAGCCCCTTTTCTGAAGACGGTGTTGTATTCTCCTGGTTATGTTTGGTGGCACTGCTGAGTTCAGCCATTGGCATGCAGAGTTGCAGCACGTCGACCCCATGCCGTTCCATGTGAAGATTCAGGTTTTACTTTCTGTAAGTTGCGTGCTGCTGGCTACCCGAGGAGCTGGAAAGATGCCTGTTACGTGTGCTGGGCTTTTGAGGTGCAGAAAGCAGCATTTAGCAGACCCATGCTCTGTAGTCAGTACGTGCAGCCTCTGTGTGCACAAGTGGTGGCCCGCTCCCAGCATCGGCGCTGCCCCGACCTGACCCACAGCTGCGCTCTGCCCGGTGTGGGGCTGCAGGCATACACAGCATCTCCCAGCTGGGCTGGAGGTCAGCTCATTCTTCCCTTGGGAACAGGCCCTGCTGCTTTACCAGCAGCTCCTAGGAGGCTGCAACAGTTGAGCTTATGCTGGCTGCCCCAGCACACAGAGGTCAAACAAATTGAGTTGCTCTTCAAATTAGCTGGATACCGCTTTGATCGCTGTCCATTTGAGACGTGTGTTTGAACTGGAAAAATGCGTGCCACGTTCCAGCCACCTCCTGCAGCCAGGAGAGCAGTGATGCCACTGGCAAATGCATACTCTCACTGAGCCTTACTTAGCTGGAAAGCTGTCGCTGAAGCGTGTCCTGTATCTAGAATGATCTCAGCCTCGCCAGGCCTATCTCTTACAGATGTTAATTCCTAACTATGATCTTCGCAAGTTTCAGTAGAATAGTAAGCTGCAGTAAGGAGGGGATATGTTCAATTTAAACACTGAGATTACCATGCTCCAAATGAAGCCGCTTTTATTAATAATTACCTCTCTGCCGTGACTCTAAATTCAAACAGCTGGACAGACTCTGCTCTTTATTAATTTCCTTGGATCCTTTGGCACAAAGCCCTCAATTCCTGTGATGTAATGGTATAAAAAGTTGGCTCCTGCCTGAGCTTCCACCCACAAGTTCTAAATTTGGAGCATGGCAAATTTCTGCAGATTCCAGAGACAGGCTATGCTCACGACGTGCTGATGCCTTCAGTCCCATCCCATTGCACCAAACAACAAGATTGTGTGCTTTTTATAACTAGGATAATAAATATGACTCAGATGCACATGTTGTCTATGTAAGCATTTGGGGTTGGCTATCACTTTATGGCACTGGGAAGAAGCCAAGCCAAATAAAAATTGTTTTGAGTAAATATTACATTTCTAGAGCATGAATAACTTTTCTCTCCAGCCAACATGTCACTAATGGGAATAAGGAAGAAGACGGGGTGGGAGGGAAGCAGTAACTAAATCATCCCACTGAATGCAGACAGTCTGCAGCAAGACCTGTTGTTTCAACCCATCTGGGGCGTCATGTCCCAGATAACTCATAGCGGGTTTCAGCAAGGCCACAGGTGGTGGAAATAGAAGCAGCTAGATCGCTCAGCACCATGCTGCTGCACGGCTCTCTCCTGGGTGGGATCTCTGCCCGTAGTATGAAAAGCAGGCAGCCGAAGAACCCAGTGTCCTGCTCCCCCTTGCTCCCCCATCAAGCATGTGGATTGCTCCATGGAGATCAGCATTGCTACTCACGTGCTCAGCACTAAGCATGTGCATATGTCTGTTCAGGATCCGGGCCAGGAGGAAGGATGAATTTTTCTATCCTGCAACTTCGGGACCTTTGGGGGTTGTCTGCATTGTGCAGCTCGGGGAAACAGAAAATGAGACTGCGTGCAGCTTGGTGCTACTGCACCAGAAAGGGAAGCAACTCTGGGGCTCAAAACCTCAAACTCTGAGGTGCTGTCCTACCACCAGCATGCGCCATTGCAGGGATGGTCAGCAGAGCTGCTGGCTCTGCTCCAAGGCTTCCAGCAAGTTGTTATGTCTGTTTCTTTCCCCTCCCTGCCCACAAAAAGAAAAGAAACCACCAACAAACACAATTACTCTTGCCCTTGAGCACTTCTTGGCAAACAGCTTAGAAAGTACTTAATGTACCTGAACTATAAAGGGATAAGAGCAATGCTTTGTTTTCCAAAGACATAGGAGAGAAAAGATTATGTTAATGTATGCAATGGGGTGGGAGGAAAATTATCTGGAAACATTCCCTCATAACAGGAATCTTCCGGGCTCCCTGGATACAATAGCCAGATAGAAATGATGGGAGAGAGACTAGCTTTGAAAACCATTGGTGGCTTTCCTGTTTTGTTAATGATCACGTAATCCTGAGCACTGTGCATTCCATCCTCTTGCACCTATGAGCTTTTTCACACCAAACAAATGAGTGCTTTCCTGAACTTTGCTGTCTTTTTGTTTTTTTTTTTTTTTTTACAGACTAGTTTGGCATGGGAGGAAGAAAACCTGGCTTTAGAAGAGGAGTTCAGACAGGAAGCAGCAATATTCCAAGAAGATTTCCGAGTCAAACAGGAGAGGAACTGGCTTCTTGAAGAGCATATTGCAGAGATTCCCTAAAACATTCAGCTGCACAGCTGGAGCAGGTGAGTGGGAACGCGTGAAGGGCACGCGATGTTCTTGTGTCCCAGCTGTCCCTATCAGAAGCACTAGAGAGGAGCTATTCTATGCTGTAGGCTGGACCACAGCTCACAAATAAAGCATTTCAAGGGCTGCGAGCCCTGCAATAATGACAGCCTTGACGTCAGCAGACCTGCACCTCTAGAGACTAGGCTGAGAAATCAGTGCTTGCTTGCCCAGCTAAGGCAGCTTTGACTGTGTTTCCAGTATCTGGGCGATAAGTCTTTTTCCATGCCTTGCAAAGCTGCCAGTGGTCATTTTCTGCCAACAGATCAGCCCAAGCAGTGCATGAGGAGACTAACTCCGTCCCCTTTGTAATGCAATTTACAATTCAGATGAACTTTTGTAACACAAGAAAGTGTTTTTACATAGTAGAGCTTCTAAATTGTTAGAACAGTTGGAAAATCCTAAATTGCTTCGAGTAGACAGGAAAAAAACAATGAAAAAAAAAACATCATGGACTGCAGAATTTACTGAAGTGGGAGCTGATGGTCAGTTCCCAAGACTGAAAAATGTATTCAGGGACGGCTGTTGCACTTGCAATTTGAGCACGAGTACTTCAGCCTTCAGCAAGGTATTTGCACCCTCCTGCAAAACTTGTTGCTCTGGTTTGTAAAGCTTAAGCTCTGAAAACTATCCAGAGAGTCAAGGTCAGTCCTGTTTGGGTTTACCAGTTCCTGAACTCCAAGTGCCCAAGGGAGGGGAGAGCTTACCTGGGATTGAGTCAGCAGCCTGATTTAGGAATGATGGAAGAGGGCTTGGCTCAAATGCAGAATGACTTTATGACTGTTGCCATGTTTTTTCTGACACTTTAGGGCTAGCTACATGGTGATTTTAGCTCCTCTAGGTCATTAGAAATCTAAAGGCTGCTTCAATTTGTGGTTGTAATCCAAGAGCTCACAGGTGGTTTTCAGGCCATCAAGAATTAGGCATGAAGGCAGAGGGGCTGAAAGTTTCCCAGTGGATGGCAGATGGGGTGCCAGGAGGCTCTGCTCATGCGGAGTTGCTCTGATCTGAATGGCCTTCCCTCAAGTGTTCACACAGCCATCTGCAATTTGCACCTTGTAGGCACAATTTCAGCTTACCGTGATGTTGCTGCATCTCTTTGCAGGAGCAGCAGTGTTTTGCAGGCACTTGAATAGATAAACTATTTCCTATTAAAACTTGCAGACTTTAATAGATAAATATCCATCACATTTCATCAGCTGAGGCATAAGGAGGTTAAAGGACCTGACAAAGGTGATAGCAAGTCAGATGGCTTGGAATTTTGTAGCTCTGAGAGATCATCTTTCTAAAACAGGAAACCCTCTCAAGAGTAGTAGGTTTTCATTAAAACAACAGTTCAAACCTGTCGATCTTGATATATCAGGAAAACAAGGAATGTAGAAAATGCGAGTGTTAGCCTGGTCTCCCTTAAACTAAACCACCAGGTCTGCGTTCCTACGGAGAAACAAATACCCTGCAGGCATCGTGGTGTCTTTGATTTATTTTTGGAAGCTGAACCTCCCCCTCTTTTGTGTCTGAACTAAGAAAAAACAAGGATTTGGGGCCAACAGAAGGTTTCAGCAGAAAAAAAGCCTTCAGTCTCCCTGCTCGAGAGACCTGAGCAGTTAAACCAGTGTAATCCAACTTAGCCTCCTCTACATTTCAAAATTAGATTAAAGTTCGTAAGTCGTTGAGGGAAAATGTTACCCAACAGAGCAACTGTCTGACTCTCAAAGTAATCACTGGGCCTTTGCAGGGGAAGAGCACAGACCTGCTGACAGTCACCGGAGTAACTCAGGGCAGTGGCTGTGCACAGGGGTGAGGCTGGGCGCTGCTGGGAGCCCACGGGGCAGATGGCTGGCAGAGCCTTGTTGGTCAGCCCTGCTGGTTCTTGCTTGTGTTGCCATTGTGCGGTGAGGTAAGGTAAGTCACATGAACCCTGAGCAGAGCTTTTGGTTCACTGTTCCGCGTGCTTTCCTCGCGATGGAAGACTGGTTCTTCCTCGTGCCCTAGCAGTGTTCAGCTGCACGTACACAAGTGACGCAGCTCAAAGTAAGCTACCAGCTCAGCTGTAAATAACTCGTGTAACACCGCATCTGTGCGAATCTGCCTCTCAAAACAGGATCTGCAGATGTGATTAATTAGGAGTGCGAGAGGAGCCGCTTTGCTCCCGGAGCTGTTTTCAGCATGCCTGTGTGGTGGTGTCCGGCTGCCATCTGGCGTCGAGTGCCCAACGGGGGCCGCAGTAGGGCAGGGCCCCCCAAAGCATCCCCCTGCCAGCCCAGCCTGCCCACAGGGCTGCTCGAGTGGCAACCTCTGGGCGACGGCCAAGCCGTGAGCAAATCCTGCCCAGACTCACCAGGGCCCCCCGCCACGGTATCTCCCGCATTCCTGCGGCAGATTTGGTATTTCTTATTGTTTTCCCCATCTCTGGGGGAGCGGCTGCAGCTGCCTGGCCGGCCTGCTGGGGCAGGAGCTGGCGGAGCCTTGTGTGCGGGTCCCACAGCTAGCCGGGGGCTTTGGAAAATCTGCGTCAGTCTTCTCACCCTGCGTCGGCACGTAGGGAGCTGGGGCTGATCAGGAGGGGTGAGATAAAAGTGAGGGAAGGACAGAAAGCTTGAAGAGTACAGAGGAGCTGTGCTGCACCACCAGCGTGGGAACAGCGTCTGCTCCGTGTGCGCTGCCCCATGCCCAGCGCTCGCCCTGCAGCTCTGCTGAAATCACTGCACTGGTATGCAGCAGCAGAGCTCCTCACATGTGCCAGCAGCAGTGCCTGCTGACTGGTGTGCACTGAGCTGGATTGTAGCTGGGAGTAGGGGCAGCAGTGGGAGTGACTGCTCTGAGTTGGGTGAGGAGGGAAAATGGAGACAGAGTTGTCTTTGGACTCGTGCTGCACAGCGTGGGTCTCTGCAGAGGTTGCAAATACCAGGGAGCAGCCTGGCCAGTGATAGAGACAGAGGAAGTGTGCAGAGGCTTTTGCTGAGTCACACTGGGATGGGGAGAACTGCACAAATCAGCAGAGGGGGCAGTGGGTCCCAGCAGGCTACCTGATGACATTGGGTGAGACTGGGCCACCAGCAGCACAGAAGGAGTTGGGCTGCGGGCCTTGGGATGGTGGTTGTCAGCCACACATCTGCCTGAGCTGCGCCCTGGGCTGGCAGCAATCCCCTGGGCTTCAGCTCTGCTTGCTTTTAATCCCGTCGCATGTGTTTAAATTGGACTTGCTGCTCATGTTAAATGAAAGGCTGCAGATTCCTTGTGCAGATAGGAGGAGCCGACACAAGCCTCTGCAAATTGCACTCATGCTTGCAAGCACCCCCATAGGCCCCCTGTGACACATTGGTGATGCACAAGCAAGTTCACTTGTGTGTGTGGAGAACAGGCAGCAGAAATGACAGCAGGCAGGCCCTTGCACGAGGTAGGGAGGCCTGGATCCTGTAAAAGGCTGTGGTGTGCTGTAACTGCAGGAAGCAGACCTGTTAATTTCCTAAGTGTACAAAGCTGGTGTTAGAGAAGGTTCCACTGACAGGCACAAGAGCTCTGTGAGAACTGAGAATGCTCAATGGAGTGGAAAAGGGAGTTATTTGTTTGGCTTCTTTGTCGATGAATTTAAAATAATGGCCAGAAGGAAAAAGCAAATAAAATTGTTCTGATTTGGTTTTGCTTGTTTGTTTTTATGTCTTTTTGTTGATGTTGTGTCCAATCAGTTGTGATTTTTCTCTCAGAGTATCTGCTCATATCCTTTTACATTGCCTGCGCTGGCTGAATATGAGAAAGCAAGGGAGAGAGGGTCTCTCCTCAAGGGGTCTTTCCAGGATTGTGCTTGTAGGTATCATTGCATTCCCCTTTCATTTTTCAGGATGTTTTTATCTTTTGTTTTATATCATATAGTTCCAAGTTCAGTATCTTTTGGAGGTGAGAAACTGCTGCTGTGTTCAAGGTCTTTTCAAGTGTTAAAACAACCATTGGCATTGCCATTCTTTCAAAGTGTGCCTACTTTTGACATCCATATTGCTCTTCTGCATTTTTGGTTCTCTGCCATTGCTGAGTTTGTTCATAAAAGTCATAAAAGTCAGGAGAATATCTAAATCCAGTGTTGTAAACCTTCTCTTTGGCTTCTGGGGGAGGGGTGGGGATGTTGGTGTGGTTTGGTTTTCCTTGTTTTTGTTTTTTGTAACTCCTGAAGCATGTTGTGGTCACATTCTCAGTAGAAGGAGCCCTTCAGATATGCTATCTGTGTGGTGTCTGCTCGCTGCGCCAGGAGGGGAGCTCCCAGCCTTGCAAACAGCAGGTGGGTTTGTGGTCTTTTTCACTTGAGATTTAAGCAGACGAATCTGTGTCCTGCTCTGGAAGAGACAATAGGTGTAAGCTGGACTGTTGCACATCCTTCCTCAAGCCCACTCTTGTGGCCTTGGGGCGTTTTTATCCTGCTTGTCAACAAACAAACACTGCTCAGTGGGATGAGAGATCAGGGTGAGGGTGAAGGACAAATGAGGCAACTGGTAAAGCCTTATTTACAGGCAGGTAACCTTCCTTACACATTTCTCCTTGATCCAGGCCTTATCTCTTTAGAAAAGCTCAATTTATCCTAAGCTAATGGCAACATTAGCTCGTGGTTGCCTTGAGACTGTGTATATTGAGCTGAGATGACTGAAGAACCAAAGTGGCTCATGAAGTCGAGGACAGTAGCCTGCAGCGATGATGGCAGCAAGGTGATTGTATTACAGGTTGTGTAGTGTTTGCTCACCCTTCATACATCGTTCTGTTTTCTTGCACATGTCTATGGAGTTGCTGAAGGGAAATGAAGGGTGCTTTTCATTGTCTTGAGACTCAGTGTGAGTAACACCGCCCCGTTAATCATGGTTCCCTGGAGAAACTGAGCTGCTTAAGGTCCAAACCACCACCAGATGGCAGCTGAAGTTCAAATATGAGATGGGCCCAAGGTCCCTGCAGAGGACTGCCAGACAGGGGAACTTTGTGGTCCTTGAATTGGGAAGATAAAAAAAAAAATGTGAGTAATTGGCATAGTGCAGGCAGCGTTGGAAAGTCCCTAACTGATGGGTGAGTGGGGGAACTAACGTCTTAGTGCTGCAAGAGTTCCTTCATTCTATCAGATAACTTCTTAGCATACTTTCCTTTACATTACAAGCAATACATCACTGCTTTGTCCCAAGAGGCTGAAACACTCTGTGTGTGCCTCTTATCCTGGTCACGCACCAGTGCTCAGAAATGTTGACTTAAAATGCTTTGTTTAATCAAGATAAAATTCAGAGCAGACGTTTCCAGTTCACTTTTACTGAAATAGATGCTGCGGTAACTTCCAGAAGAAACCACAAGACTGAATACTTGCATGCCTTTTTGGTTTTGCTTTCTTTTTATATCTCCCCACCTCCACAGCTCCCCTGGATGCAGAGATTGCATTGCTTCCTCAGGTAGGCTTTGCTTTTGTGTCTGGAAAGTTCGACTCAAGTAACCCAAGTTGCTGGAAATCTGCCTGTTACAGCTGAGAATGAATGCATAAGGCTGTTAAAGTCTCATAAATCAGCTCCATAAAGTGGTTACAGGGCAAAAATTGTGCCTTATGTGAAACAAAGAATGGTACTGTGCTATTGGTTTGCAGGTTTGTTCTCTCAGCAGAAGGAAAACCTGAACTGGGCAGAGAGAGGATGAAGCCCTCCTGCGCATCCTTCAGAGGCACCACAAGCAACAGGAGCAGCTTCCTACTGGCCCAGCACAGGTATGTCTGATGTGTACTACTTTTCTGAGAGAGTGGTCAGGCACTGGGGTGGGTGCCCAGGGAGCTGGTGGAGCCACTGACTCTGGAGGTGTTCAAGGGATGGTTGGATTTTGTGTTGAGGGACATGGTTTAGTGAGAACTACTGGTGATGAGTGGATGGTTGGACTGGAGGATCTTGAAGGTCTTCTCCAACCTTCTGTGATTCTGTACACAGTGAACTGTGTCACATCTCATTGAGGATGAGCTTCGGTTCATCTCCTCTTGTAACTGTGGCTAAGTAGGTGGTGACATGCTGATCAAGGGCTGTTTTGGCTGCAGTGTATGCACACGAACTCTGCAGCTCCATGAGAACAGTAGGTCATCCCTGGGCCAGTGGTAATGCAGTGGTACATCAGAAGCAAGTCTTTATCAATTCATTTCACATCTGGCACACTTTGTGTTTCAGAAACCACATCAGCTACCTTCAATCCAACTCCCACTGACCACACCATTAAGAGTATTTCTTAATTATTATTTCTTATTATTACGAGCCAGATAGGAAATGAACTGAGAGTAAATACCTCAACAGTGCACTTACTGACCTTCAGCATCTTCTGAAATTGCACAACCCCAAAGAAACCCATACAAAAGGTCAGCTTTGCATTCTGCAATGTAACTGATGTTTATTACTTTATTAAATAGCCAATTCTAAAGAACAGTAAAAAACAGGCATCATTTGGTGTTCTTAAAAAAAAAAAACAAACACAACATTTGTCCAAAATAAAGACTGTTAGAAAAATTAACAAGTTTGGCCCCAGAAAGCTACATATACCTTCTGCTCTCCATGAGAAGTGCTGGGCAGTTATAAATACTGTTCCTTTTCATCTAGCAAAGTTTAACAATGTATACATTAGTATTTCCATTACAGTTTTTTTTTTTCACATTTTTTCTGTAAACAAGATCAATATAAAACTGCCTTGTTAGCAAGCTTAAGAAACTATTGCGTTTCTGTACAGTAAATACAAGTAGGACAATCCTGGATTTTCCTTCCATTTTCATCAGCATTCCATTTACCAAGACATTAAAAAGATTTCAATTAGTACAAAAATATAATCAGAGTAAATGCCTGCAAAGATTTCAGTGTTTGAGTGAGTCCTTGTTAACAGGCAATGAAAATGCTATTGAGTTCTGAATGTGAAGATCTGTCTGTACAGCTTCTGCTCTTCTGAGAGCTGAGCAGCATAGTGCTGTGTCCAAAGGCACTGGTTATCCATCTGAAATGTTCACTTCTTATTTACTAAAGGTAATTTAACATTGAGCTGAATGAAAACCACTGTGTTTGGTCTATGTGCAAAAAGGCGAAGCTGCTTAACAAACCCCACCAGTGGGCACCTGCTCTCCACAGGGCAGGGCTGACTTCTCAGAATGCCTGTAGAACTTAGCAAGAACTGTGACTTCAGTTAGACCTCAGTCTGGTGTGGGTGACCGACTGGGCAACATCACACACTTGTTCCTTCCCCGCAGAAACAGAAATCCCTCTCTTGTTCTCTGCAGAGAAGTTTAAGACTCAATGGAAAATCTTCATTACCAGTACTGCTGAAATGGAGGGGCAGGAATTATTTTTTTCTGTTGCAGTACTGCTACTGACTCATCATTCTTATATCAAATGTCAAATTCAGTTTTCATCTTCCATTTTTCTAATCTGGCCTCTAATAGAGAATAAGACAAAACGGAGCGCTACAACTATAGCATTGTTCATTGCATCAACAAATGTTTTGCATATAAACGTAGGTTCGATGCAGATATTTCATCTGTGTGTCATCATGTTCCATTCGTGCGCTCCAGAAAAATCTGTAAGCCAAAACTGAGCATCTTTTAAACCATGAACGTGGTTTTCCAAGTTAAATTCTTTTTTAACCCAGTCTCAGACAAGATCGATCCTGCATGACTGCTCTTCCTAAATGTTCTACAGCAGCATTCTGTACGTGCCTGTTTCCAGTGCTTTTATGTGCATTCCTGCAGAGGACACACAGATCAGAGGAGCCAGGAACCAGAGAGAGCGGGCACCCAGGGATGAAGCCAGCCACGAGAAGAGCAACAGGCAGAGGAAAAAGCAAAAAGAGACTAAAAGGAAGGGAAGGTAATGCTCTGGACAGAGTCCACAGGATTGACTTATCCCATGTTTACGTTATACTAACTGAACCAGTACAGCAATTGCTTCCCTTGCTGTTTGAAATGGGTGATGGTGCCTGATTAGATGCTGCCTGTTTGTTACAGGCTAATATAGAAACCATCCTGTCACAGCCTACACTTAAATAAAAAATCTTCAGTAGAAAAGTCTTGCATAAAGAAACAGAATATCTGTTAAGGTGAAGGAAAACAGCAAGTACTGCCAGACAGCACATAGTGGTGTCGTTACTGAGCTCTTAGTAGACACTTCTGCGTGGTAAACAGTATTTCCTTTGTAGAAAGGCCCTCCTGCTGAGTAAACTAGCATCTTCAAAAGAGCAATAAGCTGTTCTGAGCAAAGCAGAGTGAACAAAGGTGGACTTCTGTTCACAAGTAGTATGTCAGCTATTTTCATTACTCAGAAGAGGCTTTTTTCCCTTTCCAGCTCTTTTCTCTTTGCTCCAGTTCAGCTTCAGTGAAGGCTGCCGGGCCCCAGTTTGTGATGAGGTGTGGATTCTTGGAGCCTGGAAGACAGAGTGCATTGAAACAAGAGTTTCTGACAGTACCACCACTCCCACAGCAGCAGGAGAGACCCAGAACGATTCAGTCAGTGCTCCATGGTTGGGAGCCATCACAAAGGCAGCCCAAGGAGCCACCTAACTGCAGCAGGAGGAACACCTGGGACACAGCAAAGGTGCTTCAAGGAAGAGGTTCCCAGCTGCTGCAGTCTCAGCCTAAACATCCAGTAAGTGGTAAAGGCATCTTTACTTTGTGCTTTTGGCAATCCACATTTAGGCTGACTGTGTTAAACACTCAAACATGCCATGTTCAGGTTGAAATATATATAATACTACAATGCAATGCTATAATAATGTAAATATTAGAGACAGTATGATATAATGCAGTATGTTGTATCTTAAGATCAATACACTATTATGATGCAAAGTAGTAATATAATGTAACAATTATTGCATCACATCATACCATACCCTGTATTCTGATATAAGGCTAAAAAACAATTAGTTTCTGCAAGGCCAGGAGAGGTAAAGACTTGAAAAGGTTCTTACGTTTAATTTTGCACAAATGTAGCACTCCAGGTATGTGGATTTCATAATGGCCCTTTTTAAAGCAAATAAGAGCTTTTATCTACTCCTACTAATTTAACAATATTAATTTATTTTAAGCAAAACCAAATCCTCAGCAGGCAGCAGTCTAATCAGTCAGGATCCTTCACTACTTACACTGCACTGCACACACGTTTTAAGTCTTACATTAACAGCACTTTTTTGTAATACACTTCAAGTAGTGCAGAGTTGCAAACTTCCTTCTTCAGAACCACCCCACCACTCAGAGAGAAGATGCTACTCTGACCAGCAGTTCTGACAATGTAGTGTTCATAGGCTGTAGAGAAGCCAGTAAGCTACAAGAAAAGGTGGCCTTGAATACACAGCTGGTTGATGCACGCATGTGAGTACAATGCTTTTGTGATTTTAATGTTGATACCTTGTTTACCTGGCTCTATTAGTCGAATTAATCCCTCATGATGAGCTACTTTGTCTTTCCAGCTCCTGGTGTTATTAGCTGCCGTTTCCAACTTCTTTTTAACCTCCTGAAATAAAACACAGCCCCATTTAAAAAATGAAAATAATTTGATTGTATTTATACAAAAATAAAACATTTTTCAATCTAACAACTGTACCATGCTCTGTCAGGCTGCACTGCTCAGTGTGGACAGGGCTGTTCCATTTCAGATCAACACGTTCACTCATTTAGTCACTCACTGGCTATGTAAAAGTAAGTCATCAAACCAAAATCCAGCAGTAACCGGGGCTGTAAGATGCCTGTAGCTGTGTAACTACAGCTGCTCTTCAAGAAGATCAAAAACATACATAAACTGTAGTTTAGTATAAGTCATGCTATATTTAGTAGTACTGTGATCTAATAACAGCTACTGAGTACATCTCACAGTTAGAAATCATGATGTGATAAATGGAACAGACTGCTGCTGATAGCCACAAGCAAGAAAGAGACATTCTTCTATGTAAACTGGTCTTTTGGTCAATTCTAAATAGAAGGTGGGCATGATGAATTATTCCTAAAATAATGTGAACTACTGCACTCCACCACTTCAGCTGTACTGTTTGTTTTTTAATTCTCTTACAGTCAGCCAGCAGTACAGAGCAGTAAATGATACTGCATATACAAAAAAGCTGAGTATTACCTGAAAGTAACACTCATGATGAGTTAGATGCAGCCCCAACACGGTGAGTCGTAAGGTGGCACTATATCCTGTGCCAGTCCAGCTGTCCTTCACAGAATCTAACTCCAAGGACACAGTGACAGCATAAATATACTCCCAATTAAACAGAAATCTCGCTGTTTTGTTTTCCTGACCTAAACAGAAGCAGGGGCAACACCTCTCCAGCCCTGTGAAGCACAGAGAAATGGTCTCTGCACTCACTTCTGAGTAATTCTGAGAAATACTTCACATTTCTTCCACAAGTACAGCTACTGGCCTACACAAAAAATGCTCAGCTGAACAGAGAACAGGCCTGGCATTTAGGAGACAAGGCACCGCTACATTAGAGGATCTCGACTCATTCCTTGCCATCCTCAATATCAATTCAGTACTTAAGTACTTCTAAAGGAACAAGGGCTTACAGGTGCACAGCAGTATTTCACCTGTAGAAGACACTGTCCCATTAAATCATCAAAACATCGCAAGAGTAACTAATTCAAAAGCATCACATCTGATTATGGCAGCAATGGGACTGCATACAGCAACAGACAGACACGTCAAGAGCATTTCAGGCTATGACTGAGCTGGCTTGCATAGGAATGAGGATAAAAGAATAAAGGAGTGGTATATTTTAAACTGTCCTCTTCTTCAGACACATGTACTGGTCTGTGGCAAAAAAAAAAACCAAAAAAAAAATCACATAACTACCCGACCTGTTCTTATAAATCTTGTGCTTTGCTAATCCTTAAGCATGACATTGAGGAACTTCAAATTCAGTTGAAACACTGCATACCTGGCCAACAGGAGAGGCTGATAAACAGAATGGCTCACCTCATACTGCTCAAGGGCCTCTTTCCTTTCCAGTTCAAGCTGTTCCAGTTGCTGCATAGCAACCTGAAGAGCCTGCTCCTTTATCATTCTCTGGTTTTCTAGCTCCTGCTTCTCTGCTTCTGTCATCTGAATGGTCTGCTGCTGCTGCAAGTGCCATTTTTCCAGTTCAGCTCTCTTTGCTGACTCCTCTTCCAGTAATCTGCAACGGGGATTATGGTGTTAGCTGCACTTCACAGTAAGTTGTAGCCACTATGTAGCATACACAGAGGAGAGCCAAGCTAATTATTTTATTTCTTGGAAATTTTAGTTAAAAATAAAGTCAAATATCGGGAAGCAGAGAAAATGTTACTGCTTCTTGGCTTGTCTTCAGTGTGGCTCTGAAGTCACTCCAGCAGTGCAGGAGGCTCACTGCTACAAAGGGCTATTCAGAAAATTCAGTCAATGATGCAAATGCAAAACAGTGAAAACCAGAGAAGAAACAAACGCATGAGTTATCTTAATTGTCTGGAGAGGAGCAACTCCATGAAATCACAGAAAGTGAAGCTCATACACGTAACAGAAGATTTAACCCTTTACCAGTTGAAATACAACAGCAAGCTGTATTCCCAGCTGCTACTTTATAAAACACACAACTGCAAATTTGTACAGAATGATGACAGTTTTCAAGTGTGGACAGGCAAAATACATGGTGAAAAGTAAGTGAGCCTGCTCTTCTGAAGTTACTGAGCACTATCCCTGTTAGGGGCTAATAAAAACATACAGAAAAAAAATGAATGCCAATTTTGGCCTTCATAACTTAACAGAAGAAAACCTCCCGGGTCTTTGCACTTTATTTCCCCTTCCCAGCACAGTGTGCAAGATGCAAACAGTCTTCAAAAGCATGGCACAGTTGGTTATTAGTGCAGGGGAGAGGGAACAGAAACATCACCACTGGGTAAAACACATACCTGGCTTGAAGTTTCCTTACAGTCTCTTCATCCTGACGTGCCTGTTTCTCAACCTCCAAAGCTTCCTGGAGCTGCTTATACATCTCTTCCAGTTCACGTACCCTCTGTAAATACTGTTCCAGTTCAGATGATTTCTGAGCGACTTGCTCTTCCATTTTTTGCCTCACCTAGCAGCATAAATTGAGGGCATGGGTGAGTTACCATTCAATTCAGGTTTCCAAAGATAAAGGAAGTACCAGGTTTCTCTCAGATGTCATTTTCAGAGAGACATTTTCCTGCAGCCTGCAGAGCAAGACTGATCAAAGAGAGCCTAGAGTTGCAGCTATGAAACAGTCATTTACACTTTCTCACTACATGCTGCACAGGATTCTTACAGTGGTTTAAGTCCATCTTCAGTCAGCTTGACCATGAGACTTAGTGTACAGTGTACAGATACACACTAAACAGAAGGAAAGAAAAGCTTGCAGAGTGCCTGGATGCAAAGGTGAAGGCACCTTAATTACACTGTTTCAGCTCAGGCAGCTGGATGATGGCACTGCAGTGTGCAACAGTACAGGGTGGATAAAAGGTTGGAAGTCATCTGGGGAGGCTGACTTAACTGAGAGCAATTACTGTAACCAAAAATTGAAGGTAAGAACTAGAGAAAAGTGAAGGAGAAGCTGCGTATCCACAGCATCATCCCACCTTGCCCCAGCACTGACCAGAGCAGGGTACTGCAGCACCTGATCTGTCCTGCTCAGCTCACACTGGGGACAACAGCAGTCAGAGAGGAGAAAGTACTCAAACCTCTGCAGTTGTAACACATAACACTTCACAGAAGGTGAAGCAGTGCTCCTGGTGTCAGCAAGAAAAGCTTGCTTTCTCTTGTGGTAGAACAGCCTGTCCTGCTCCACTGCTGCTCTCCCTGGGCTAACCTAAATCCCACTGACCCAGAAAGCCATGGTGCCCAGCAATGCACACTCAGCACATAACACAGCACTACACACACTACACATTTGTCCTGAGGTGTTATTGCATAATTGCACTGACATGACTACTTCTATTACTTTTCTGCAGCTGACAGAAGAGCCTGTTAATGCCTCACTAAATCCCTGAAGACAGAAGAATTAGTTTTGGAAATCCTTGTCCTGGATTATAAGAACAGCATTTTAATGCTGCAAGTCTTCCTCTCATTGTGCTTGTGGGTGGCTAAATACAGAAGAACCAGCAGTGTGAAGAAAGGAACAGTTTGGGGAATATAATAAATTCAGAAAAATCCTAAAATGCATTTTAAATTATATCTTTGTTCATTTTCTATATATACACAACGTGGACCAGCCTCAGGCTGTCCACCTGTAAAAATAAGGATAAATTCAGTCTGCATTTATTTTGTCAACCATTCATTCCACTGGTGATTTTCCAGTAATACTGAAGCTCTGAATGCTGCACAAGCCATGGAGCTGTTTCAGTTTTTTATTCCCTTGTAAAATTATTTTATCCTTACACCTCTAATAAATGTAAAGCAGACTGCATTCTCCAACCTCCTGCAAGTTCTGCTGAAACCTTTTGGTGACTGCGTGTGAGGGACATCACTGCTGAGCTGCTGACCACAGCCTGGAGTCTCAGCTGGCACCGCTCGCTGCAGGAACCACTCACCATTTTTTCTCTCTCCAGCTCCAGACTGAAGCGATCCTGTAACTCAACTTGGGTCTGAAGCCTCTTCTTCTCCTCCTCAGCAGCACGGGCAGCTGCTGCTTCCAGTTGCTGAAAAGCAAAAAAATAATTTATCAAAAGTAAACCATTTGGGGGAAATGGAATTCAATTAATATTTTATTTTATTTATTTAAAAGAAGCCTTCCAAAGCATTAAGGCTTCAGCTGTTGTCTTCGTGCTTCTTTTTAATGCCTGAGCCTATTCTCAATCTCTAAATATCAATTTTAGTCTTACTACTGCGAGACAATTTTAAATTTATTATTAAAAAAATAAAAGACTACCAGATCTCCTCCACATTTCCTTTGAGATCTCCATGACAAACCAACAGAGAAGGAAATACAGCCATGTCTGTTTCGTATGGGGCAGAAAACTATTACAGAAAACCCCATTCCAGACAGGCCTGCACAGGAGTTCAGCAGCAGTGAAAACATGCCAGCATGCGCAGAGTTCACACAGAAAGAGGGAAGCACTAAATTGCCATGGCAAAGCAGAAGCACCACAACAAGAAGTGATTGTGCTATCATGAATCACACCCCTTTAACATGCCATAAATTGCCATCTAAGGTAAAAAGAAAGAATTATAGACAATAATCACCACTGGGGAAAAAAAACTCTCCTTGTCAAAGCTCAAGCAAGAGAAACAGCTGCTGGGACCTTCACAACTTCCTGCAACTTCTTTAACAGGGTCTTTTTTTTTTTTTTTTTTTTTTTGCATCTTATTTTCACAAATAAAGATTGCCATTGCATTTATTCTTTTCATCTTACTTCAATAGCACCTACTTTCAGAGTGCTGGGAGGGCTGGAAATGTACAAGCACCAGTCAAAACATTAACAGCACTGGAAACAAAATAACTCTTTCACAGCATTTTCTAAAGAAACTTATCTGATTCATGGGAGAGAACTGAAAACAAGTGCCCTTTTTTAACATGCTAGACTGGGGAGTTAACTGCCACGGACCTTCAGCAAGAGAGGGACACTCATCTTTAGATGGGCAGAAGGGAAGGCTCTCAGTTTCTTTGTAAGCACAGTATAGAAAAGCTCTCCTTTGAAAGGCTAAAATTACTCCACCAGTCTTATGGGAATATTTATCCCTCCTCTGTCAGAACATCAGTAAGCCTACAATCGTGGTCAAACCCAAGATGCTATTTAAGTGAAGTTTCCTTCCTCACATTCTAATTAAACAAACATTGCCAGAGAGAGCAAACGTGTGCCAGGCTTTTGCCACAGCTCAAACAAGCCGCTCTTAGCAGCAGCTCCCTGCTTTCCTTGCAGAAACCTGCCTGGTGCCTGGCCAGTAACGTTACCTGGATATCACAGCAGCTACGGGCTTTAGGGAGAAGTCCCACAGCGTGAGGAGGGGAAGGGCAAGAAGAGCACACTGCTCCAGCAGGAGTTAACACAGCCCCCAAATCCCAATCAAGACCCTAAACTGAAATAGAAAGGGTGCACAAGGCTTTTGCACACTCTCTTGTAAGAAAACTTACCTCAGTCTATTCAGCGTGTGCATCTCAAAATTCCATTTTACATTATGAAAAAAGGTCTATTTTAGACAAAGGCACCTCTATTCTTCCGTTATTTTTTAGAGCAGGAGCTATCACAACAAAAACTGGTCTCAGCGTGCACTTTGGCAGCTGCTGTGTAGGGCTGGCTCTCAGCCACCTGCAGCAAACCAAACTCAGAGCCTGCCAAAACAATTCCTTTTCCTGAATCGTTTACAAAGACTTTTTCTTGAAGAGTTTTGATGCTGTGGTTTTTTTTGGCTTTTTTAAAACTAATCAGTTTAAATTCTTCTAGCATAGTGGCTCCCAGATAACTCCTCTTAGCCACAGTGCAGTATTTATGTCAGAGACCAAATTCTTTTCCTTGAGAAGTCACTGCAATCCCACCCACTTTAAAAGATGATCCTTTGCCTCGGCTCCTGTTGGTTTACCCCTTGTGATTTCAGAGACATCCTGGAGCCTGTCAGCATCCTGCTGCTCCCTCATGAGTGCTCTCCTATCACCTTCCCCTCCCCTATCATCTCCCCATGAAGTCAACTGCACATAAAAATCCATCGCTATGATCTCTGTTAACAGGTGCATTTCTTACCAGTAAATCTGTAACACAGGCTACCCTGGGAAGCACGTTTGGCATTACAAATTGCATGTATGTGGTGTACAGGGGTAAAATGAAATTTAGAAAAATGGTTTTCCGCTGTCAGATTTTCCTTTAAAACAAACAGAACACACCTGCCCTCAATGGGAACGCAAAAAATCAAATTACAAAGAGTGAACAAAAGACTCTTCAGACTAAGCATGCAGCAGAGATCTCGGCTGCCCCAGCAGGAGGCTCTCCACTCAGCAGCCAACGTGTTGGTGAGCACTTCAATGGCTCTTCTCCCTAATTCCAAGGCACACTCTTTAAAAGGCATCACGACAATAAAACACATCATAGCTCCCCCTGCAAGTCTTTACAGGAAAAAATAGGAAGCATATCTGAATTCTAATCAGTGTCTGTGCAGAGAGCTATCACACATGCTCCTCGTTTCAATGATCCATCAGCACATTCAGCCCACTGTTGGTGCACAGCCATAGCAGAGGTGCTTTCAGCCACCAGATTCAGACTAGAAGCTGTCTGTGAGGAAGTTATTCAGAAAGCCTTGTGCTAACGCTCAGAAATTTCTAGAGCAATTCTCAGGCTTTCAAAAGACAATCCAACATTTACAAGGAACAAGCATTTAACCAACATATAAACGTTATGTTTCTCAGCTCCGTAAATCTAACACTTCTGCAATATAATTAAACCTACACATATTCACAAAATCAATTCACAGCTTTGGAGTCTTTGTAAATCCAACTTCTATCTCTAGAAATTAAGTCTATGCGAGGAGGAGCGTTCCACCCCAGATAGTTCACACAGCATTAGAAAAATTGCCTGGGAAATTCAATGGGAAGCCCCCTGTTCAGCAGACATTTCCAACGGGGAAAAACCCAAACCAACAACCAACCAGAAGTAATTGAAAATGTGAGAGTGCCCAGCCCCCAAACGCCACGCACAAACTTCAGTAATGTTCACATGCACAGAGGATGGGGCCACAACACACGGGTTACCCTGAGCCCACAGATCCCCAGAAATGGCTGCAGCAGTGCGCCAGGCGTTACTGCGGGCTGCAGCAATCCATTACCTGGGCACTCGAGCTGGCACAAACTCCCCTCCTCTACTGAAGTTTGCTTAATGTGCCTCAACCCCCGAGCAGCCAAACGGACTTCAGAAGCCCATCTAAACTGCGGAGGCTGAGCCTAAAGCGTGCAGGTCAGCAGCTCGCACTCCCACCTTTCTCACAGTCTCCAGCTCCTTCTGCTTGTTCTCATTGGCCGCCTGCAGCTCCTTCATCTGCCTCTCCAATTCCTCCTGCTCAGCCAAGAGCTTCTGGCGCAGTTCTTTCCGTTTCTGGCGTGCTTCTTTGTGGGGCGGAGGGCTCCCCGCCCGCAGCAGGCTCACGGTGGTCTGTATGGCTGGGAAGGAGCGTGCAAAACACAGGGAGAGTAGGAGAACATCACTGATGGGAAACACCCAACTTTCCAGACAGCCCAGGGAAATGAATACCTGTGCTGGGTGGTTTTTTTTCCTGTTTTAATGCGTGTTTAAATCAGAAACACAACCCCTAGTAAAAGGAACTTGGCTTTCAATAGGCTGCGTGCCACAAGAAGGTCAGGCAGTTCCAAGGCATTCTGTCAGTTCTGATACTGATGTTCAACAAGCAGTGGGCAAACCAATTATTTGTGTACCTCACTACAGAAACAACTCCCACATTCCTCACTGCCAGGGTTCATCAAACCTAATCAGGAAGTCCAAAATGTTATCCAACATACATGTTCACCAACGTTCCCAGAACTGACCTTACATATTTTCAGTCTCACTAGAAAAACAGTCTTCCAGTAAGCAAGCAGTTCTTATTGACTTATATTCAAATAAGGAAATAACAGGCATCAGAGCTGAGGAGAATGCTTTTGATAGATATCAGTATCTATATATAGATAGATACATATATCTATATATAAGATAGATATATATATCTTATATCTATCTTATAGATAGATGCTTTTGATAGTTATCAGTACACACTTTTTATCTGCCACAACCGCGAAAATAGATCTCATCTTGGAACCAAGTAATTCTTTGTACATCAGACTTTGGTGCAAAGTACATGCTTCAGGTAGAAAGGAAGTATGAAGCAGCTCCAAATAGTAGCAGAGTAAATACTGAAACGTTGCACATGCTTAAATATTGTTGGCAACAGTGGATTTGCAAAAGCCTCTGCCTCACCCTGCAGAAGACGTGTGTAAGGTCACACTGTGCATTACCCAGGAAGGTCTCAGACGGAGTAACTTCTTTGTGGTAATAGAAAAGGAAGTCCCAATTCCCAGCTTCACCCTCAGCTCACCAAGCCAAGCTACCTCAAGCAAAACCATGAAAGCAAAGCCTATTCATGATGCTGAAAGAGACAAGCTTCCCCTTTCTCCTCAAATCCAACAATTCCCTGTGTATTTCCTGCCCTTCTCACCTGCAGAAGAACAGCAAAAAAGCAACTAAGAGTCATTTAATTTGGGCTGCTTGAACTGAGGCACCTGAATGAAAGAAGGCAATTCCTACCCTATGACTCCCTTCCTGAGTCAGTTTCCTCAAAGGTGACAAAATGGAAGCCCCAAAATGGTAAGACCAAGCATTTTAAAACTGAGTAAAGCACATCTCATAAGGCTTCAGCTTACTTTAAAGCAGCCTGATCTAGAGGATGGCAGCCCAGCCCGTGGCAGGGGCTTGAAACCAGGCCATCTTCAAGGTCTATCCTTAAACTTTATAGAACCACATCCTGTGATTCTATAAAAATAACTCCAACGTTTCTGAAACCTTACCTTGAATCCACTCTTGCTTCTTCTTTTTATCAGAGGCACTGATCTCAAAGCTTTTATCAAGGCACTTTATAAGAAAAAGGCATTTCTTTCCATCTTTGTCAGGCAAGGCCTACAACATATGAAAAAGGATTGTTCTTGCAGACATCATTAAGGTACACCATCAAGCCCCATTTCTGCACTTATCTTTTACATATCTACAAATACTAATATTAAAGAATGTTTACACAAAGAGCACGTGCAGACTGCTCCATACAAAGTAAAAAAAATGTTCTGTTAATAGAAGCTGTCAGAGGTCACAAAAAATATACATTCTTTAGAGACAGCCATGGATGGTTTTCTGTTTGTTTCCTTTTACCTCTACACAACAGTTGCCGTCCAGTATGATGTCTCCCTTCTTGTCCTTTAGGTCTTCACTTACATAGTAGGAAATAATATTGGGTTTTAGTACAAACCATCGTTCTGTCCAGTTTTTCCTTTTGTGACCTTTTTTCAGCATATAACCCTGCAAAAAACAGCACATCTGAAAGGCCTGGCCCATTCTGAACATCTCAGTCTTTTGGTTACATAAAGTCTTCTGGTGGCATAGGAATTTCCTAGCAGAGTACATAGAAAAATTAGCTCAAGTCCCTACAGACAGTCCCTACACATTTCCACCCCCTAATACCAGCATGCTGCTAATTGTTTGCCCCATGAGAAACAGCACCCTGATCCTCTGTCCTGCTTTCAGTAACAGGATTAGCTTAAGAACTAAGTAATTATTGTGCCTACTGCAAGTCCTTATTATTTGGTCTCTCTGATTACTATTTAATTTCCTTCTGTCAAGCAGAGACATTTGCCATCACTGAGATTTATGGCTAATAATTTAATAAAAGTCGCTATTAAAAAAAAATCATTCTATCCTGTTTAGATGCACACCGTGGTAACAGATGAAGATGTGGGGGCTCTGCTGTGACCTGGTCAGGTATTACTCTACAGTTTCAAAGTCAGATGGTAGTTCAGCTGCCATTTCTGAACGATATTCCCTCCCCCCCTCTTTATTTTTTTTCTTTAATAACGTATTTTTAACTTGACTCTAACTTCAGAAGTCCTATCAGACAAAACTGAAACACCCATGTCAACAGAACTGTGAGAAAGCAACAGAGAAAGCACCGTACCCCTGATATTTCAGGTTAAGAGAAAAGAGAAAAACGTTCACGGTTTCCTTTCTACATCTATCAGCTACAGCACACTGGATATAAGCAAACAAATACGCTCTGACAAAACCAAAGCTGTCTCTCTCGACAGGTCTGGGGCAAAGAAATCAGGACATTCAGAGGAGCCTGTTTGTTTTTAGAAAACAAAACCACACACACAGAGCTTGGCTGTGCTCTGCTCCTCCAGCCCACCAGCTGCAGCCAGAGCCCAGCCGTGCCTATTCCCTCGCCATCCCACCCCTTGCCCAGGACAGGAATGCACAGGAATGCTCTGCTCCCCCGCACGCAGCCGGAGGTCCGGGTGGTCGCCCCGGGAAGGACTCCTGCAGCTTTGCCCTTCCTGCTTTGAATGATCCTGTCCATAACCAGTGTCTTTCCCTTCCTCATACACGGATAGAATTCGCTTTCAAAGCCAGGCCAGACTGATATTTTCCCTGTAAAACTGCTGCAAAATCTGCATCTATTATTTTCTGACAGCTCCTGGGGTTATTTTACACCAACTACCAGAGAAGTGAAGGACACTTCTTTCAGAAAGCTAAAACACAATAAAATCTAGTTGTCACTGCAATCCTCCTCAATCCTAGAGACCCAGAATAAGTGCACAACAACAACATGGATGCTAATGATGCGTCACTCATAGCTCGAAGCAATAAACCAGATCATTCTACCTGCCAAGAGCTACAAGGGAGCATGCTGTGGCTGAAGCAGACAGGGTCAGCCACAGAGGAGCTCCATTCTCCCTTAGACCAGTGACTGTCGCTGGTGCTGGGCCACACCTTGCTGCAAACTATTTTTAAGCATTAAGGAACATCTCACGGGCACTCAGACATCCTTGAGAATGAGGCCGAGCCTCTCAGAGAGGAAAGAAAGGAGACAGTCAAGGAGGAGGAAAAAAAAAAAAGAGAAAGAGACAATGCCATATAGAAACCAAAATAAGATTTCCTCACAAATTGGAAGTGGAAAGTCTGATAGGAACTGACTATTTTATCTTCATGTTATTAAACTGCAGAATGGCTTTATGCTATCTGACTCAGTACGTGTGTCTGCCCCATCCCTCACCTCCAATAAGCAACCAGGAGTTAACAAAAATAGACCTCAGCATTGTTATATGGATATTCAAAGCAGCTCCTGTGCCAAAGCACTCTGATGATTTCTTCAGAATGGCTTTGCTCAGCCTGCCAAGAAAGTCTCTGTTTCCATTCTTACCAAGAAATTAAAGAAGAAAAAAAAAAAAAAAATCCACATCAGGTAAAAGTCAGTGTTACACAGTTCTCTAGCTAAGCTCAGCTATAAGCCCTCAGGTCCCCACAATACTTTCCAGTTTTTAAAGCTGTTCCTGAATGGATCATCTGGAAATCTGCAGAACCAAAGGGCTGACAGAAGCTTGCTGTGGAAATGGGGCTCAGCGTGACTGTGTCTGAATACAAGTGAGCTGTATTGCCTGCTAAGCACCAGAAAGGAGAAAGCTCTGCAGATCCCCTACACCTTCTCGCCCTACTGAAGTGGGGTGACTTAGAAGAAAGGCTTCAGCCCAGCATTCCTTTGTCCAGACCAGGCTGAATACACAAGCTGTATCAGCACAACTTCTATTTGCTACAGTGTTTATTTGCATCTGGAAAAAACATTTCCAAAGACCGAAGAGTTGTCACGAATTAAGAACTGACAGCTGTAGCTACTTTGTCAGCTAGAAGGAACTGATAATACTATAAAAACCTGTATTTCAGTCAGAATACACTTCCTTTTAAAATGGAAATTCTCCCAACATGCAGCTCATTCACCGTACTGCAATAACTATATCAGTTGCTCTCTGATAAAAATAAGGTCATACTAAAGAACCCTGATAAGTAATTCATCTAATTCTCCCCCTGCTCTTTATCCATCAGCCATCACAAATTTAACACTTTCTACTTACGCAGTCCTTACCTGTTTGAGTACATCTAAGATGAGCTCGTTAAAGACTTCGTTAACTGCCATGGACACGGTCTGTCGGTCCATGCCCTTACTGAACTGCCCGCTCCCGATGAGATCGATCAGCTCCCACGCAGACAGGCCCTCCCGGCTGGTGTTGAGGGCAATCTTGTAGAGGTCAAACTGCTCCTGCTGCCAACCTGCTCCCATTGCTTCTGTCAGCTTTTTAAGCAAGTATTCAATCTGTGAGGAAATATAAGCAGAAATTAATCACTTCCAGCAGGCGTAGAAATCAAGAGTCTCAAGAGTAGCACAGTTTATAGTGTTGAAACTCCTTATGGCTGCGCTCCCATTCAGGCACCAACATGGTGCGCTGCTCAATTAGCAAAGACCTCAGGACCAGCAGCCTTCTGCCTCGGCTGAGCTCCTGATGGCCAGCCCCACCTGCAGCTCCGCTCTTCATCACAAAGAAACAAATCATTAACCTGCGAGCCTCTTCTACATTCAGGCTCTTACAGGATACAGATCTTCCCTGCAGTACCTTCCAGGCCAACGTGACTGAGGTGTGAGAAAGCAGGAAGTTTCAGAAAGTGTTTGTGGAATAAGAAAAACAAACAAACAATAAAAAGAGTAAGGTCGCAGTTTGGACAAGCAAAATGAAGAACCACTGGTGCACGGCCACGTCTCGGTCTTCACCTGCCCCTCCACCACACCACTCCAGCTTGGCAGAGGCATCAAAAAAAGCAGAAGAATCTATTTGTCATCTCTGTTTTTATTGTTTCCAGAATGAACTCTCCTTTTCCTTTAACCTTTCATCATCATCCTGTACACATTACCACAGTGTAATGCTTCTAATAGCTGCTCACAATAAACACAGGAATATAAAGAGGGAAAGAAAGTCGGGTGTGTTTTGCAGTTTGTTTTGCAGCACGTTACTGTTCCTTCACTCTTTAAACACCACACGTTTTGAAACTAAGCCTGCCTGCAACTTCAGCACAGGCAAAACGTTAACGGCTCATAAGGAAAACAATTAGTGAGAGTCTTTATGCAAGGACCTCTGCGCAACAAAGTAAAAACGCACTTCTGCATTTCCTTCGGCGTTGCAGACAACCCGAAGCAGAGCTCGGCCCGGCACCCCCTGCAGCTCCGGGCGCGGTGCGCTGCTCCCTCACTGCCCGCAGATGCGCACAGCTGGCACCGTAACAGCGGTGTACGGTGCCTCACCGAGAGCGGCAGAGAATTATAGAACGGCCTGGGTTGAAAAGGACCACAATTATTATGGAGTTTCAACCCCCCTGCTATGTGCAGGGTGGCCAACCACCAGACCAGGCTGCCCAGAGCCACATCCAGCTGGCCTTGAATGCCTCCAGGGATGGGGCATCCACAGCCTCTTTGGGCAACCTGGAAGGCCTAGACCAAATGCTTTTCAGGACTTCGTGTTTTGTTTGTTTTGCTGGTTTTTTTTCCACTGATGTTGGCCTGCACCACTGGGGAGCAGAACACAACTCCTTCTAGGGCTGAGGAAGCCCAGCCCACTTGAATTGCTTAACTACAGGTTGGTCAGCTCTCAGCCTGCCTAGCACCCAGCACAGGAGGTTTAGTAGCACCAAGAAACACAGAGACACCCAGCACACCTCCCTGCGAGGACCCAGCTCAGATGTGCTTTGGATGCTCTACACATGTGGATGCTACAGCTTCTCTCCCACAGCCAGAGCAGGCAGATCCCTTCCTTCCCTGCTCATTTGCCATCAGGAAAGACCCAAACGTGTACCAGGAGGCACTGCCTCGGCAAAGCTGAGAAGTGCCAAACCTGGAATTCAGCCTACATACAACTGTTCTTAGATTTCTGCAGCACCCAAATTCCTTTAAATATCTTTTCCCCATGCTGAAGTACAGCCTGCCCCAATAGGAGCTCTGCTCAATGACCCAGGCTTCAGGTAAAGCAGAGGCTGCAGAAAGGAAGGCCCAACAAGGAGGGTGTGAGACCTGCCAAGGTGCTGGGCAGTCTGACAAAGAAGTAAGGCAGAACACACATAATATAGCTACAACGTGTTATCATGTTACACACTAAAAAGAAAACAAAGTATCCTTTAATGTTATTTGTGCATATTTCTACTCTATTTTGATTGCTGGAACAAATGCAAACGTTTAAGGCTACTCAGCTCCCCTCTACGAGTCACTATCACCACAAATATCCCAAATCCCATTAAAGTACACAGAGCATATTTTAAAATACATTAACTCTTTGTATATTACATATTGCAATTTAAACGGTCTCAGAACGTATCCTTCACTCAGAAAAGCGTGGCTAACCCAAGTCCCACACAACTTTTGTCAGACGTCAGTGCTGGGGTGGGGCACGACTAGGGAGCAGTGTGAGGGAAATACTGAGAAGTAAGCTGGATCAGGCAAATATGGAAGCGAACAAGAGGCCATTCATTATGGGCTCAAATGAGGAACCTCTGCGAGCCAACGATATTTCCCCTCCTCCCCGAGGAGACGTGTGAGCTCAGCAAATAACTGACAAATTAAGGCTGCTGGCTCACACACAATCTGCCCTTGTGGTTAAAGAGTAGTGTTGAAAAGCAAATGTGAAGCAGTGTTTGCTGCTGTTCTGACAGGGCCTTGCTCGTTCTTTGATACTGCTGGGGTTGCTTTAGGACTAACGCTGCACCCACCGCCATGTTCCATAGCATGGAAAACCAGTTCCATTCCAAACCAACACTTTTCAGCCAGAACTCTGCCAGCAGAAAACAAAAAGAATACAAAGCTCAGGGGCTCCTTAACACAAACTGTGCAGCCTGCCCAGCATCTGCTCTCAGAGGGCAGCTGTTCTTCTCTCACGCTGCAATACCTACTTGCTTTCCACTTCCAGGTATCCCTGGCACGGTTCTCCACAGGGAAGGAAGTTTCACAAGTGTTTCACATATTCTTCTGATACATAAGCAGGCCTCTTAGAGGAGGAAAAAGGAAAAACGATGTCAAGGAGGCTTCCGTGCCCAACAGAGCATGGCAGACAAGGCTATTCTGGTGTGTGCTATTCAAATAGGGTTTGTGATATTAATAGTGCAGACAAAAAAAATTTAAGCTGTACACAATTCTGTACAAGTAACGTGGCAACAATCACGGCCTGTTCCACAGCCTTCATCAGTTCTTTTCCCCACCCCATCAGAACAGCACACTCTCTCAAATCAAACGTTCAATTTTTCCTTTCCACTACCACCAAAAATCCCCACATTTGAAGTCATTAAACTAGACAGACAATAACTCCTCTGGATCAATAGTTGGTGAAAACAGTGCCTCACGCACAGAGCTTTCATTCTAGTTATATCAGTTTTGATTCTGAATTGCTAAGGGTCAATTCCCAATCTATCATTCACAGTATCAGATGCCAGCATACAGAACACAGAAACAAAAGAGGTCACAAAATATTTCTGCAGGAAATATCTCCAGAAGAATCACTACTGGCAACTTGAGACTTTCACCACCCATCACCTCATTTTCAAATGCACAGCAAAACCACACAAGATTCAGAGCCTCTTTGTCCCAGCTGGGAGGATTAGAGATGACACACATTAACGCAGTAAAGACCAGAGCACAAAGACAAGGAGACTGTACAAATCGTGGTTCCTTAAGAAGCCAGACCTAAAAAGCACAGACAGGAAGTAGACAAGTATTGCATAAAAGACACGATGTGAACACTGCATTACAACAAGAGCGTGCCGCCTGCAGTGGACCTATCTGCCAGTTTCACCCTTGAGGTGGCCCAGGAACACAGCTTACCACATACCACAGCTCTCAGGCGATAAAGCATTCCCAAGCCTGCAGTCACATGTCAGAAATGAGAAAGGGGAAGTGTTAGGAAATCTTCACATACAACAGAAAACGTCCGGTTAAACAGCATACGACCGAGTCTGACAACTAAAACAGGAGGCGTAAGGAAATCTCATGACAGACGAAATACTGTTCCTTTTATGGCTGCAGCACTCCTCACCTCTCTTTTGTTTTCAGCTCCTCGTGGAGGAGGTCAGCCCTGCGAGGGCTGAAGGAAGCACACATTTCAATGCCTGTGTCCCAGATGGCTGAGTGGGAGCACCTGGAGGAGAACAGGAGCAGCTCTCCCCATGCTCTGCTCTCTGACACCAGGAGCCACACAGCTGCTCGTTAAAGCTCTGCCCCCTGCACACTGCTGCCATTGGACAAGAATTGTGCCAATTCTGGAGACCATCCACCAGGAACAACTCTTACTTGAGCAAACAAAACGCAGCATTGTTTTCCTCCAGTCTGCCTTCACTCAGCTTACAGAAATGCTGCACCTCACATATACCACAGCTTCTCCCTTGGATTGGGAAGAAGGGAGATTGGATGCCGTTTCACATTTTCTAGGGCCACAAACACCTTAGCACAAGAGACATTTATGGACCCCTGCTCCCTCCCAGCTCTCCTCTCTACAGCCCAAGGCCACCACCAGCTGAGCATTCCATATCCAATGGAGAGGCACAACTCTCGTGCTTGTGACTCGACTGCTCACCATGACACAAAGCTGCATCCCACCCCAGGCCCTTCCCCACACCGGATTTCACTAACGTCACTCACTCCTATGCCAAGTTGCCACCTCTCCTTACACAGCAGGGCAAGAGCCCAGGCCAAGCATTGCTTCTGGCTTCCAGTCTGACCTCTGCTAACAGAGCAAGGAGGCAGCTTCTGGCCCTTGTGTTATCCCCCTCTACAACTTCTAAATTTCCTCTTTGTAACTGTTTTCCTTGCTTTCTGTTTCCAAAGATTTCCTCAGCCTACGCCTCTGAAAGCTTTCCAGACTGTTCTTCCTTTTCTGTTTGAGCAGCGGCTACAGCACTTCAATTTGCTACCCACCCAGCACTTGGGCAAGGAATCAAGCCCAAATGCTTTGCAGCTGGGGCAGCAGCCCCGTCCCTGGTGTGCGTTCTAATAGGAATGGCCCAGCACAGCAGCACCTGTGCACAGGTGCACCGGCAGGAACGAAAGACAGCAGCCTCAACCTTCAGTCAAGGCGGTGCAAAGAAGTGAAACTGCACACAAGCCAGAGAGTTTTCCAGATAAGAGGTGGTTCAAACAAGCACAGAAACAGTTTAGGTCATTAAAATCAAAAATCAGAATCCCAGACAGCCCCAAGGAGCAGGTCCTGGGAGGAGGAGGAGGAAGAGAACTCTGCAGTCACATGATGTTGTACCAATACCTTCAATGGAGACCTAAGAAGTTTCTCTACCTCAACCTTGCCATCCACAAGGTGAAAAGCAAAAATATTCGTGTGATCCCTTTTCCAGCATGAAAGTACCACACAAGTTTCTTAATTCCTTATAAAGGGAAAATAAAGTTCAAAAGCCAAAAAGCCAAAGAGGTGGGTGGGAGGAGGGGAAGCAGCTGGATCCTGCACTAATCACTCTAAGCCAGAAACAGCAGTAAGTGGCATGTTGCAATGTTCACAGCCAAGGATAAGAGAAACAAACAGGGAGGGAGAAGCGCTTGCTCCCTGGCTGCGAGGTTATAATGATTCATGAGAGGTTTACATTTGTCTTGCCCAAACATAAACACTACAGAACACTGCCCTCCCATCTGCTCTACACTTTGCAAAAAATCCCTGCTCACAGTTCATTCATAGATGATGTGCAAGGCAATTTCACTTCACAGGCGGGCAACATTATCAAGGAGTAAAAACTGAATACATAAGCCAGTTTTAATACGAACTTGGGAGGCATAAAAAAGAAAAATACCTTGACTAGGTATCAATATCACTTTGAACACTATTGAAAAGAGCTGTTTTCAGAAGGAACTTCTCAGTATTGAGATAAAAAATTGCAAGTTCATACAAAAAATGCCTTCAAAATCTGGAGTTGAGATTTAATGTTAAAAAAAGTACTAAAACAACAACCAAAAAAACCATAAGAACTTAAAAGGCAGATATGAAAGGTCACATAGAGAAAGAGAAAAGCCGATCTAAATTAAGTTTCCATCTTTACTTTTGAAATTTTGAGTAAAAGGGAGTAAAGGTGGAATTTTCCAGAAGCACAGACAGCACCAGGAGGACCAACACAAACCAGAAAGAAGGGCATTCACAACAGCATTCCTGCACCAACTGATTACATTACCTGTATGGTCTAAGGCAAAAGGTTAAAGAGCATATGGGGGTATTGCATATGATAAGAACAGAGCAGCCTTTCTTTGCCAGGCTCTACAAGCTTTCCTTAAGGAGTGCAGCATGATTTACATCATGCAGTAATCGAGGAGATGCAGACACACATCCATGCCAATGAGTTTTAAAGATAATCCAAGTGAGAGAGCAATACAGGTGGACCCTGGAGACTAAGGATGGGAGGGAAACCTGGTTCCATTAAGACAGGAGTTGTCCTGGCTTTTAGAACTGTGATCTACATCCCCCAGAATGAACAGAAAAGACAAGGTAAAAAAAAAAAACAAAACAACCAAGGGAAGGCAAGAAGGCTGTCCTGTGTCTCCAGGGAATCAGCATGTCTGGTAGCAGCCTGTCATCATCAGTACAGCACAAACAGAAACACTGTACAGAGTGAAAGTGCCCTGCAAAAACTAAGCGACAAGGCAAAACCAAGTGGTTCATTTCAATATGGAAAGGGCAGTAAGTAACAGTTAGGCTCAGCAGCTCGGAGCTGTGGCATGTAAATCAGACTCTTTTCATCTTTGACTTTTCAACAATTTGAAAAAAAATATATTTCAGTGCTAAGCTGCAACCCCCCCAGGATTTCTGCAGCAGGTTTTGCAGAAGATGGTTAATGCGTAGAGTTCCACCTGGAGTCCTTCTTCCCTCACCCCTCCCCAGGGGGAAAAGCTTTAAATTGTGAAGATTCCAAAACCTTGCTGTAGGGTTACCCATACGAGCACTGCCTGTACTTGCCCACCCACTTGAAGTATAAAGAGACTTCCCTGTTATTTTGCTCACTGCTGTTTATTCCTACAAGCATTTCAAGCAAAAGCATTCAGGTGGTGGCTGGTTTTGATCAGAAACAGACATCATCTGAAAAGTCTGCACTTCTCCATTTCAACAGGAGGGCGACATGAGACTGAAGACTCATCTTGCAAGCAGAGAGCACTTTTTTTTAGCATCACGCTGTGCAAAATTTGAATCAGGCATAAGCGAGTTCTGTATTAAAGATCCCAACATGCACTACCCATGAGTGAGATGAGAACCTCAACAGCCCCAGGTGCATGTGCTGGAGTTTGTCTCCTCAGCACCAGTCAGGCCTCACAGTCTGCAAAACAGGGCATTTACAGGCAGCACTCCCACTTAGCCCAGGCTGTGTAAGTGGCAGACAAGAATAGCAATCAATATCTAAAATATCCTGCAGGATTCCCACACATGCAACCTGCAAGACAAAGAAAAGCATTCGAAGCCTTAGAAAAGAGGAAAGTAGTTTCTATGAAAAAAATCATTTTCTCTGAAAACTCCAGGGTAGCAATCATTGACATACCCAGCTGAGACACTAAGCAAAGCAATGCTGAACAGCACAAGTTTTTGTTTCTTACCTCCTCAGGTACAATGATTAAAGGGTACTTGTCCTCTGATAAGAAGTTAAAAATAACCCAGACTTTAAATGCATCTTCATCACTGATCAGCAAAGGACTTTTCGAGAGGTTCTTTTTAGCACACAGAGTCCAACACATTCTGTTGAATTCAACTTTATCAAAGTTCCCTTGAACCTAAAATGAAGAAATGGAACAACAACAACAATCAATACATAGGAATGACACAGGATAACAGACAGATGAAATTTAACAGACCAAGTCATATCAAAGCACCAAGAGATTCTAGTTTGTAAGCAGCACCAAGGCCGAAAAAGAGCACAAACCCAGCCTGCTCTGACTTCCTGCATGGGGTAAACTGAAGAACTTCTTCCAGCAAAATCCGCATCCAACCTCCAATTTCTGGTGGAGTTAATAACACCCTGACTTCACAGGAAGGAGGCCACTGTGATTTTGTCTTTCCTCTAGCACACGAGCTTTGGATCCCAAACCTTCTGCATAAACATTTTTAGTTCCAACTGCCCTTCTGTTGCACTGCTACTAAAACACCACCTAATAAAAGTGGAAACCATGAGAACGAAAACTACATGTGGACACACCAGTACCAATACTGGAAAAGTCTTTACGTTAATAAGCCTTTCTGCTTAATGTTGCTGAAATGTAACTCTTGAAGAAAATATTCACAAATGTAACCTTGCTTTCTTTAATATTAATACACCTAAAGTCTTTCGTTTTTCTCAGACTCTCAAATCCTCTCTTTACTGATAAAAAAATTTCTCTTGCTTGCATTATCCTTCACCATACCTAGCATCTGTACATAGCCATCTGTGAATTATTTACATATGTGAAAGCTTTCATTTCCTCTATTTTGTTTTTAAACCTCGTTGATGCTACAGACAAAGTATATTTATCTCCCTGCAGCTTTGCCATGCTGCTTCTCTGCCAACACAAAACCAATAAAGTCACATTCTGCACCTTTACGGAAGTCTCTTGGTATTTTGGAAATCATGGGTAAGAAAAAGGTTTTTGCACCTTGCCTGGGAGCACCACGGGTAACATCCTGTGCCATTTTCTTACGATGGGCCAAACCACACAGCCCTTGCACCCCAGAAGTGCCCTGCTAGTTACCCTGCTCCTGAGGTGACACGATGGAGCAGGAAACCTGCTTTCCTACAGGCAGCAGCACTCCAGCAGAGCAGCAGGCTCCACAAGCAGCCCATGTTTTGGTGGCAGTGACCACAGAGGGACAGATGGAACAACAACTTGTGCACGGGCCCTGGCTGGGGTAAGAGATGGTGGTTCCTGCTTGTGACACCTGAAAGAGGCACCAAACCCAAGACACCCCCAGCACCCATTGCTGCCAGGATTTGGCAGCAGCCAGCAGGTCTGAGGACTGCTCTGCCTCAGGACGGGCTGTACTGCACCAGTACTCCCATGTTAGCATCCTTCCTTCAGACCTCAATTCCCTCAGAAGCTCAATTGTGGAAGGGACTTCATCAAGTGTCTGAGCGGCATCCAGAGCACGGACACTGCATAGAAATTACTCTGGAAAGATGATCAGATCAGCATACAGGCTCCAGCTCTCCACAAAATAACTCTAATCCACCTTCACGGGTTGTTTTGTTTTGTTGGTTTTTTTTCTCTAAATCATCACAGGCTGACTTTTAAAGAAAGGATGTAATCATAAAATCAGTGTTCTGGGGATGCTAGGAGTTGTGGGTAGAACTAAGTAAACTACATGCTTTTCTTTAATGAGAGATACTATTTTTCCTGAGCAATTTCACGTGGCAACGCTAGCTATTTCTGGTATGTACATTCTTGAAGTACATTTGTGCATGGCTGTGGGGGAAGCAAGGAAAAAAGCCACAACCAAAACCAAATCAGCTCTAGAGTCAGGTCCCTACTACAGTACTCTGGACTTTGGTTTCTTCCACTGGCAGCGCTGCTGTCCAGGTTACTACATAACAATTACTCTGAAGTAATAATTACTCTAAATGAATGCACCATGGGATGTAAGAGAGATCATTTCTAAGCACTGCTTCAAAAACTGAAAATATTTGAAGTTTCTAAAATTATATTTCAACTTATTCACAGAAGTACCTCTAGCTTAATTAACAGAATGCAAACATAGAAACATTCCAAACAGGAGGAACTGATGGCTGAAAAAAACAAGTCATAAGCACACATGCACATTGCTTTTTAAGCACACAAACAGAACAAACGTCTTGAGATCAAGAAGTTTTCTTTCTGATCTCACTCAAAACAATTAATTTGCCAGAAAATACAACCAGAAATTGAGAGAGCATTCTCTATATCTTGGGGTATAAAGTACTGGTCCCTCTTTAGCAGCTTTACTTAGTATGAATTCATGACATCTGTACTGCGATCACCTCATCAAGAACAGACTATGCCTTAGAAGAATGAAAAAAAGGAGTTCCTTGTTTGCTTTGTTGGGTTTATTTTAAACAAAGGAGATGTGCCTGAATCAGTGACTTCATCCCACTGCACGCTGCCTTTTGGCACTGATGTGGTCATCTCTGAAAGATGAGATGTCACAACCAGCGCACAAAGGTGGCCTTCTGTCCAAAGACTTCACTGATTTTCAATACTAGATGTCTAAACTCTGAAGAGACGTTTAGTCAGGATAACTAATGTGAATTTAGAGACTATTTAACCCTGTTCCTAAACATTTTCTGTTGGCTGTTAAAAGAAGCCAATGACATGGGTACAACCCGCTATTATCAGAAGCCAGAGCAGCATATAAAAGAAAGCAGCACAGGAAACTACACACAGCTGTGCTTTCTTTCCAAGATAGCATATCCCTTCTTTTGCCAGGGGGTAGGAAAGTGCCCCGGGGTAGCTGCATGCTGTAACTTCACACCAACAGGTTTAGGTAGCCAGGTCTTTCATTTACAAATTGAAGTGTTATTTAATAATTGCAATTGCTGCTCTATTCCATAACTCTTCTCCCTATACACCCTTTAACAATAAAACACAGATACATTTGAAAAAGCCTTCTGCCTCTCTTTGACTCAATGGCTTGCTACTACAGATGCTACTAACAACAAACCTCTAGTTCAGACTCTACAGCTATAATCCTTCACTCAGAATAAAACAAGGGCTCTTATTTCAATCTGTGTACAAGCTGCTCGGTCTCTGTTGAACCTTACAGGAGCTCAGACAGCCAACACTAAGTGGAAATGAGATTATAACCTTCCAACGGACAAAGGCAGATTCTCCCACAGCAAGCAGCCAAGACAGCAGGTGGGTGGGTATCTGTGGCCAGCAACTCCCCCACATGGAGCAGGGCTCTGCCACTGGGTAGGAGACAAACAGACTAGAGAGGCAGAGGAGCTTAGCCAGATACACAAAGCTTTTCTTGTTTCCAAGCTGACAGACTGCATCTCAGCCATGTATCATATTTTCCACCAGTATTAAGTGTAGATTAAAGCAGCAGCAAAAGTCATCAAAACGCGGTTAAGGAGCTTGCGTAACCTGCAACCGTCACATGGGTGACTTTCCAGCAGGAGGTCACTTTGGGACTTGATGTTTTAAAAGAAAGCAACCATCCGTGTGTCTCTGCAGCCACAAATCAAAGTTTGAAGGTTTCTGGGTCAGCCTCCAAGAGAACTCAGTGGTACTGCAGCAAGTATTGTGCACTGCCTAGACCAGTCTCCCAACCAAAGCTGCTAGAAAAGAAGTATGATAGCTCTTTGCTTTCAGAAATTTCAACCTAAACTTGACACACACACAGCCCCCGGAGACCAGCTCTGGCCCAATGCCTGCCTCTACTTAGAATAAGATGGAGGGCAGCATGGGGGAAACCCTGCTGCTTTCCAGAGCTTCCCCCAAAACAACAAACATGCAACCAAAGAACTTTCAAGAACACTCCAACACCAAGGGAAAGAACTCGCAAGGCAAACCTCAGCAGCACCCCCTGACATTCCTCACCATAAATACTAGGTGGGATCTATTTATTACAATTTTTCATGAATAGACAATAAAGATACTTTTCCTGTCCTGTCTGCTGATGAGTCTATGGCAACGTTCTTTTGTAACCGTAGTATGGATTGGGACAACCTATAGCTTTAAGACACTTCCAAATAATTTTACACTGCACTGTTTCATTAATATGAACACACTGCTACACAAGCACAGCATACAGAACAACCAGATATAACAGGAAATGGAAACCAAGGAAAGAAAAACGAGCAGAGCATACCCTTCCATTTTAAGGCATTCCAGAGCACTGCCCCAAAACAACCCTGCACAGACACTCACAGCCCAATGCCTTCAGACCAGCAGGTTTCCTGCAAGCAAAGGCCTGCTGTAAGGCTGGCACGCTAAGGAAAGACACTAAAAAAAATGACAAAGGGAAAAACAGAACCCAAGAATCCCAAACTTACCTTTTCCAAGATGAATTTGTTTAAATAAGGCATGTAACCCTGATTGGAAACTGGTCCTTCGTCATCATCCCTAAAGTGTTCTTCCAAGGCCACAGGGTCATGGGGAACATTTAACACTGTGCACAGGTTATGAGAAAGGACCTGGGGACAGAACAAACATCAGTGACACCGCTGTTGGGCTGCATTTCCTCCAGAGCAGAGCTGTGATTCAGGAGCCTGTGAGCAGAAAATGGCACCTTCGTGTCAGTGCCAGTTCTGCCCTGAAGATTTTTCTCAAAAAAAAAATGGAAAACACCAACATTTAACTAAAAGAAATTGACTGCAAGGATTTGACTGCTTCACATAGTTACAGTGGTGATTCAAACAAATCTACTGCTACAGAAGCTGCCCTTTATATGCATACTCTTATGCATTTGAAAGCCAGGAGAGGCATGGAGAAACACCAAAGTAGCATGTACACTGTGAAACTGGGCAGCTAGGGAAAGTGACCACCAACAGCTAGTCTTGGAAATTATAAATTATTATTACCCAGTGAAAACAAGTATCGAGGAAAAGAATCCAATATGCCACCTTTAGGTCACAAAGAAATGACCATTCCATTCAGAGTATTAACTATGGATTTCTCTCATCTGCTTGCTTTTGAGTCACTTTTCAACATTCACCCCAAGTTTTAGATGGTAAAAGAAAAGGAAGGGTATAGAAAAGGGAAGAGTTCAGACATGTCTCTACAATTCTTATTTTAAAAAGGTATTTGCATGTACTATGTCTAAAGCTTAACGCCCACCAGCCCTCACAGCTGAGAAATGGCCTTCAAGAAGAGGAGACACACTCCATTAGTTTTAAGGAAGTACAGAATTGCTGAAAACTGACTGGTAGCCTATGCATCTTCACTGCTCCTACACAGGCTGAGCTTTGCACGCCTGAATGGTGCCAGCAATAGAAAAGCAGGGCCGGAGTACCAGCTGCTCCTGCGCCACCAGCACTTTTCTCACATAGAGAGCACTTTTCTCATCCCTTTTGCTTTCACTCCACCTCCTGAGCCAGGTCACCCCCTGCACACTGCTGCCCACAGCCCTCACCCTGGGGACAACGCAGGGTTAAGGTTCTGGGATTGTGCACCAGCAGCAGGAGCTGGGTTAAGGATACAGCTGCTGTGCCCAAGAATGGTTTGTGCTGAAAAACATACAGGAGAACCAAAGGCAGAAACACAGGTGAAACAAAATTAGGCAGAGGCTGCGAAGTAAGACATGGGAGCTTGAAGGATCCAAAGTCTAGGAAATCAGACACCTGCCACACACCTGCAATGTCTCTTATTTTGTCCCCGGATAAATTAACATATATATATTTTTCATATATGCACTAAGGAGATATACAGAGTCTAAGCACTAACTGCACAAAGTCCTACAAAGTCAGCTCAAAATAAAAGTTCAGTTCAGCAGAGAATTCCTCTCCGCACGCTCTGAAAGTTTCCACTTCTTTCAGAAAAGCACACATCTCCATAAGAAACACGTTTTCATACTAGCCAAAGCCACTAGCTGTAACAGCTGCAAAGTTACAGAACAGGAAAACAACAGCATCAGCCCTACCACAACAGAAGCTGTATTTCCCAAAGTAGCAAAACAGTATTTACAAGATACCACATTTCAGGCCACTCTCCATCAGCAGTCTATTCTCTCCAATCTATCCTTATTTTAACAAACTGTACCCAGTGAGCCCTTGTGATTCACATGTGGGGGGAAAAAGCACGCCATCATGCATGTTTCCCCTTCTATTTAAGGCTTCAGAGGGATTCCTGACTTTCTGTGGGGGGAAGCGGATCTCATTTTTGCGCCTAGATTACAGGGGCTGTAAAGGTGGCTAAGAAAAACGTTCTTCAAATGTAACTGATTTAAGCATGTTACCAACATAACTTCAATGTTCAATAAAACACTTGCTAATCATACCCTCTCCACGTTAATTCTCCCCTTGGCCTTCTTGCTATCCTCGGGCTGTCAGAAAGCTGCTTTCCACATCCAACAACCAATTACCAGGAAAGAATTCCACTTTCAATCATTTCTAAGGGCTGCCTTATCTGCCATCTCCTCTGTGCCCAGTGCTCTTTTCATAGCTCAGGAAATTCCTCCACGCCTGCCAAAGCCTGCCATTCTTCAACATGGCCCAGCACCAGCTGAATTCTTCCCTCACAGGGCAAGCCTGAAAAATTCTGCTCTGAGGTCTCGTTCTGTCTTGTTTCATTCTTTCAGATCGCATTATCTGGACCATCACAGACCCAGCTTTAATGATACACTCTCTTTTGTAGAAGCTAAGAAAAAATCAAATGGAACAAAGCAAACGAAAAAGCTCCAAACAACTAACAGCCAAGGAGTGGATTAATTAGGGTAGGAAAATCGCCCTGCCATGCAGAAACTCTATCAACCATGAGGCGGTTTTGCACCAGCGAGGGTTATTCCCCAGTGCCGTGTGGTTGCTGGGCAGCTTTCTCCTTTCCCAGCACCTGTTGTGCTCTGGATGCCCATCTAACAACTTACAGCTGCAGCAGGTGGATCCAGTGGGGGTCCCCAGGCCACAGCCCACTATGGGTCACAAGTGTTCTGGAAAGGGTCCACAAAGACACCGCTCTCCTTTTTTTTTTTCAGTCAGGAGTTTTATTAGAGAGGTGCCCATGGGTACCAAGGAGATACTGAAGGTGTTCTGCTATACAGATAACCCAGCACCAAAGGTCACCGTAGCTACTGCTACAGACTCTGGACATTGCTTTACCTGGAGGGCTAAACCCCAGCCCAGCTCTATTGCATTGCAGTCCTTCCAGAACCTCATACAAGTGGAACTGTCACCACCTGAGTGGCACCATTTCAACCTCGTCCATAGAAGCGACCTGCATTTCTAAGAGGGACGAGAGCTCTGCCACCTCTTGCCCAGTAACACAAATTTGGCCCAGATGACAGTAGGACCATTAAGAGGACAGATTATTTCTACAGTGGCTATTACCGGGTTCCTCCGTATTTTTCCTTTCCTTTCTTTTCCACCTTTTGGGGGTCTCCTCCCTCCCCCATCTCTCTTTAATGCCTGAAAACGCTGGCAGCACAGACCCCGACAGCTCCATTCACTGGCCTCGTGTGAATTCCTTCCAGGACATTCTTGGCTCATCTCTCCCCGACATCCATGTCAGCAGCCACCCCGCCAAAGCAGGCCCACACAGCGCTTTCCCTTTTCTCTCCTAATCAGCATGAAACCAGCACTGAGCAGGCCCTTAGCACAGCCATGAGGTGTTTTTGGGCCAGGCCACGTCACAGCACCTCAGCAGCGCAGCCTCCTCGCCCACCAGACGTGGGCTCACCGATGGCAGCTTGGCCATTACACCAAGCCTGGTTCCCAGCACTGCACAGTCCACCTGCACGGTCCTGGGGCCGGGCTGCCATGAGCACTGAGCCCCGTGTGCAGCCCTGCAGCACGACTGCGGCCCTGAGTCACCGTGACTAATTTCCTACTGCCCCTCAGAGCTGGACAAAGCCAATTGTCCCACGGGGTCCGGCCCGCTCCTCACAGACTCTCAGCCTTTCCAGCGCCTCGCTGCATTGTTTGAAGCCTTCCTCTCTGTCTGACCGGCCCTCTCACCCTGATTACACCATCCTTCCTCTTCCACTGGCCTCTGACTTCCCATTTAGCAGGAGGGCAAAGTGAAGGTATGAGGTACAGTAACCGCATAACAGCCCAGGTATGACTAAAGGCCAGTTTAAGTTTTCTAAGCTTCACTGGCGACTTTGGTTGCCCGCACCTTGCCGGTGTGCCTGAGGCCACATCCTGCACCAGCAATGCAGGACAAAGTCTGTCCCAGTGGCAGCACGTGGAGCAAAACAGCCAAATAACCCCACTGCCAAAACAGAAAGTCTTACAGCAACATAAGGAAGAGCTTTCAAAGACAGAGTAAAAACAAACTAGTACAAAATATTAGTTCCAATATTACACATGTACCACAAGGAGCATTGCTGGCTGCTAAGTGTAACTCCATTTAAAGCCACACTCAAGTTCCAGGTGAAAAGCAGACTGAACGTTGACACATTTGAGAAACTTTTAAAATAAGTCAATTTTAAAATGGTAGAATGAAAGAAAGGAGAGACTGGATTTAAATGTAGGAAAGCAAGTACTTGCATGCAGCTCATACTCGAACCTCAACAGCAGCTATTTTATCCACCACAATGATACTTCAGCCTTTCCACGGCAGTGTTTGAAAGCTCTGTAACAAAATGATGATTGTGTCCATATTTAAACATGTAATTTAAGAAAAAAGAAATAAAAACATCTCTATGGTGTACAAAGATGGTAACATCTGTCGTTATAACAGTAGAGCTTTTGGAGATTACTTGGGACCTTCTGTACATCCATGCCAGTACTTTACTCTAGATCACACAACTTGCAGATCCACGGTCGACAAGCTTTCCTACTGTGAAGGGAAGCTCTGTGTGTTGCAATACAGTATGCTGCTCTCTGAAAACAAATAGATTTTTACCAAATTTTTTCATGATGAAAGATTTGTTAAGTTATTAAATACTATTCATATTGCTGCTGATCTCTGCTAACCTGCTTACTCCAAGTCTCCTCTCTGTTTTATAGGGGTGGTACTCCTTATTTGTTGTAAACACAGACAGAAACGCATAACCACAAAATAATTCCCTGGTACAACACAGCCCCAAGTCAGTGAGGCAGAGCCCCTGCCCTACCGCCCCAGTAGATACAGCCATGCAAACACAATTTCTCCATAGTAGGACCATTGGTTCAGCATTCACACTCATCCTCTGCCACAAAAAGGTTGCAGAAAAACACTCTGCCTCTTGTCAGGTTTCCTGAAAACAAATTCCTGCTGGCCACAGAGAAGCAGCAGCCTCATTTTAGCTCCCCCAGTGCTACTTCCCCAAACGCCTTTGCACCAGAGAAAACTACAGAACCACCAAGGCCCATTGCTTTTCCATGCCTTTTCACTAGCATGAAACAACAAATGGCCTAGGAAGATGTTTGACAGGTAATGAGGAGGCAAGTTTAGTTTCCTCTCTCGTTTGTTTTACCTTTTTTTATACACGAGCATTTGCAGGCATGGGATGCTAACAAGACCAATAACTGTGCTTTGGTTTGGAAGCACAATTGTTCTTCTAGCACCCAGCGTATCAGCCAGCAATCCTAGCACAGAAACACCTAACTCAGGTGGAACGTGCCGGGTGAGCCCACCTGGTGACGCCTCACGGGGAGCGCAGCACAGCAATCACAGCCCTGCACACGAGGCAGCACGGGGAGAGCAATGCCGCTCTAGAACGCAAGAAGGAAAAGCCCTTCACACGAGCCAAGCCAGCCTCGCAGCCCTGCCGGCCCTACAAAGAACGGAGAAGAGCAAGGGGCTGCCCACAGCCAGCCATGTGCTGCAGGTGCTGCATCACACTGCCCACGGCAGGGCCGATCTCCCCAACATCCAAACACAGCGGGCAATGCAAGGCCAGAGCCACAACAAGGAGCCACAGTTCCAGATGTCAACAGGTGTTGTGCTCTTATTCAAAATACTTGTTTATCCAATCGCTGCTATTATCGCCAGCCCCACAAAACGGGGCCAAGATGGGACCGGGCTCGGCAAGCTTCCCGGGAGCTCTCTTTAGAGCACAGACATTACTTCAGAGCTTGGGAGGCGAAGAAAGGCACAGTTGGAGCCTCTCGATTAATTCTTCTCGTGCGTGCCCAAATAAGAGAGCGCTGCAGAGCCCCGCTTTCCCGTCGGCAGGCCGCACCCCGCAGCCCAGACGTAGGGCCGGACGGCGGGGCAGCCCCACAGCGGGCCGGGCGCTGCGGAGGCTACACGCGGACAGCAGCGCCGCAGAGCCACGGGCCCGGCGGCCTCGACGGAGGAAAAGCAGTTAACAGCCCCTGGCCGGCTTCGGAACGCGCGGCCGCGTGCCCCCGGCCGCCCCGCCCCAGCCCCGCGCCCCGCCTTGCCTTGAGCTGCGACTTGGAGACCTTTCCGCTACGGTCGAGGTCGAGCGCGGTGAAGGCGTGCCAGATGGCCTTCAGCAGCTCGTCCTTGAGGCCCACCATGGCCGGCCGGGCTGCCGCCACCCCGCTCCTACAGTCGCTCACACTCGGGTTCTCTCTTCCCGTAGCCCGCCGCCGCCAGGCCCGCCCCGCACCGCCCCGGGGGCGGGAGCCCGGCCCGGCCACCACAGGCGCCTCCCCGCGCAGGGGTGCCGCCCGCCTCCCGCCGCCTGCGCTGAGGGGAGAGGGAAGGTTGGCGCCCACCTGCCCGCTTTACCCACTAGCCGGGCAGCCAAACACAAAGCAGCGTGTCTAAAGGCGGCTGCAGTCACGAACCCTCAGAGGGAAAACAACTAAGATAGCTGGAAGTTGATGATTATTAGCTTTAAGCATCTACCTCATGCTTTATATGCAGACTTTTCAGAGCAGGGTCCTAGCTTTTTTTTCCCCTCCCCGCAGAGTTGAGAGGTGGGCAGCACCTCGTTGCCTTAAGTACAAGAAAACAGAAGACAAAGCGCCCCACAGAAAGTAATTGTGAAGGAGGAAAAGCACAAGCTTCTCTGCAGTTACTCTGGATTTACATGAGGTTGATTCCTTTGCCAGCACTTGCTTCCCACTAAGAATGTGAGAAGCCAGCTCAACTCATTAGGGCAGTAGCCCATGCTCCACACTGGTTCCCATAAGCCTCACCTGATCCATCTTCTGGTGAGCTGATCAAGAAGTTTTCTACCTATCTTGTAAGCTTCTAATACATTATTTTGTGTATATATATACACACACAAAATACACATGGTTCAACCACATGTAAGTAAAACAAACTGAGCTAAACCATTTAAGCCAGAGTTCACGCACAGACAAGCTTGCATCTGCTCAACAAGACCTTTTAGACAGAAACACAAAGTACGGTCTAACTGCATCCACATCTCAAGTGTGACTGTGGGTTATTTTAAGCAACAATCCCATAAAATGGACTAGTCTGGGTCTCCCTCCAATCTACATTTAAAGCCTTTGAAGATAACATTGGCACAATGGAATGCCAATTATCAGCGATCACACTTAACCACAAAGCCCTTGATAGCTCTTCACAAACTAATTTGCTTGCATTATTCATGTGACAAAGTTGTGATGCAACGACATATTTCTGCTTTTCTTGGAGGTTGAGAGCTCAGCAGTTCTATTTTACAAGCTGTGCTTATTCTAATCTTATTTGCTAACCCTGGTTAAAGCATGACTGAAGTGTGTCGGGGAGGTGAGGGAGCAAAAACTGGCTCAGTCTCAGAGTGACTCACTTTCAGGAAAAAGCTTTAGACCTTGTTGAGGCCCAGCCCTAAGAGGTCAATCTCTTCTCTCTTCCTCCTCCCTCCAGAAGCTTAATTACTTGTTACCTAAACATTTAAGTATTTATCTGGGCAGTTCTAACTAGAACAAACATTACACATTTAAACCGTCACTAATTTTGTCTTCTGCCACTGAGTCACTTAAAACGTCATCAAGGAAAGAATTCAGACACATCAGTAACTCTCAGATTTTGCTCATTGTTAACTCAGAGAAAGTCATACTGAACAGTGACTGGAAGAGTGGTTTTCATTCTCAGCAGCACCACACAGAAACCAGACATTCAAGTATTAACTTTTTAGCCTTCTTTGAAGAAAATTATTTCTAGCACTCATCATTTCACAGCAAGACTTCAATAGAAAATAAATATAAAGCACATGCCAGTGTTAAATGGTCAATGTGTTGCAGTTTCTGAATGGAACAGCCCAACCCTAAAAGGTCTCAAACACTGAAGGCAAGGTGAAAGAAGCAGTAAGCATATTTGGCATGACAATGTAATCGGTCCGCAACTCTCTTGATGAATTTATTTCTTCAATTATTTTAAAATCCATTTCATCTCTGGCCTTACAACACATGCCCCAAACATTCTCACTGAAACTATGTAGAAACTCAGTATGAAAATTATTTCAGGTGAAATAGACAGCAGCATTGGATACCAAGTGAAATGTTAGCTCAGTCTCACCTACAAAGAAAAGCTGTTTGTTTCTGAGATTCCTAAAACAGTCTTTAAAGATATTCCAGCAAAATACACTGCCTTTGATACAGTTTTCAGCTATTTATAGACATGCTTTTCCAGTCACACTTAATAATGAGGTAAAATATGGAGCACTAAGTTATCTTTTTGGTTTGTTCCTGATAACAAGCATCTTAGTCTGCATTCAGAGTTGGTAAGAGAAGAAGATAACGGAAAACGCAGAATCTCAAGTAATCAGGTCTTCGAACATGCTGAATAGTAATAAACTGCTTCCTGTTTAATTAGGCCCAGTAACATTCTCTCCTCGAGGCACCTCCCTTTCCCTTACCCCCACCCGTGTGTAGGTGATAGCATCTTCACCCAATTCCAGTTGTTTAAACACAAGCGGAACTTTAATTTCCTATGTGCTGCCCTGCCCACTCACTGCTTCTTCCTGCTGTCTCCCTGCAGTTTCTTCAGACAATAACCTGTGCCAGCTCAGCAGCCTCCAAGTGGGGGAGCTAGAAGCTCTCTGATGGTTTCTGCAGTTACTGGGAAAAGGAAAGGTTCGTGCAGAGAAGAGCTACACATTTGACTGTTTCTGGTCATTGCTTTAGAACAAGCCCTTGAAAACAGCAAGGCTATTGGTAAGCAGCACAAGTGCTGAGGATTATTAAACCTGTGCATTTGCTACGTATCAAAATTACATGTACAGTGAAATCACAGTGCTATATTTTCCAAGCCTACAGAAATGCAGAGGATGAAGATGAAAAAGTTACCATTTCTCAAAATTACTGTTGATAAGAATGCTTAATCACTGCTGAACAAAATATGATTTCTAATAGTGAGGGAAATCCTAGCACACAAACACCTGCTAGACAAAACTTTCATTGACTGTTTTGACTAGCAGGTGTTGCTAAAGACTGCTAAACACATTAAAGACAAGGTCACCAAATCAGCTTTTGGTAGGGTCCATACAGCTTTATTTTGTTTTGCTTTAAATTCAGTTCAACCACACTATCACTCTGATGGACTGCAGACACTGGATTCAGATTCAGGCAGAAGACAAGCACACATCTAGAGGAGGCAAGGATGTAAAATACCAGTTACTTTACAGTTACTTTAACATTCTCTTTATAGGTAGCTCTTCCAAAAGTCAGGTACTCTGATCTAAGTAGTCAAAGTACTACAATGTACTGCTTTGCAAAAGGAATCTCTTAAAAAAGACCACAAGAAAAATAGTGGAATTTAAAACATAGGTATTTGGAATAACATTTGCCTCCTAGTTCTGATACTTGCTGCTTTAACTGAGATAAAACTTTAAGAGGAAAGTGCTGAAGTTCACCTTGTTACGCCACACTTGGCAGAATTTTTCCAGGTGGTGTTTGTCTTCCTGCAGCTCACAAGAAGCTCTCAAGTTTTCTTCTTCCCCCTGAAAAGGTGGCTCGTGCATCTCTACAGTTTTTGCCTAAACTTTCCCGCATTAAATTTATAAGCTACCACAATTACTTTAAGTTTCTATTAAAGAAATCTTTCAAGGGCAGTAAAATAGAGACACCTCTTCTCACTCAGCAAGTATCTAAACCTCAAATCCCTGGATGCTATGAATATTCAAGGAAATAAAGCACTGACACGTTTCACAAGTTCTCTGGCTCTTCCCACAGAAGTCAGGATTCTCAGCATTACCATTGGCCTGACTCAGGAAAGTTGTTCCCATTAAAATTTGGGATAAAACGTCACCATTCTTACTGCTCCTGCAAACTACTGAAAAAACTCAGTTCCTTTTAAAACATTCTCCTTCACAAACGGGGGAAAGTTAAAACCCTAAAGCCACTTCAGTTCTGAATTTTATGATGGGCATCACTCACATTACAGGTACAAAACCTGCCACCAGCACATCCATGCAGGCACAGCATAAAGCTTGTTTGTACAGCAAATCTGTAATTATGTTATATAAGCTTGAAGTAACAATCTGAAGTAACAGCAGGTAATCATTGTAAGTAATTTAATCTATTTACACTGCGTGAGCAAAAAAATTAAGTTTGCTTAATTTTCATTACTGCTTAGAAGCCTGCTTTAACAGAGGTCTCAACACAGATGAAGACTGTATATATACACCAAGTCAAATCTTAAAGGAACTCCAGTCTATCAGTTTCTACTGATGAGAACTGCTTATTCAGCAATTAAAACAAGCCTCTGAATTTCGTTGTCATATACAGAGGTCCAAAACACCTCTCAGAAAGAATACTTAGCAGTTAATACAAAAAATTGTGAAGTTAAATTTTGCTGGTCCACTCAACTCATATACAACATCTCTGCAAAGCCACCCTCAATTTATTTTTTAATACAGCAACCTGAAAGCTTGCTTAATAGGCTAGTCAGTTAAGCCTTTTTTACTTTTAAAGTAGGTCACCTCTTCACATATATTACATATATGAATATGAATATTTTACATCCACACCACAGAAAATTTGCTGTTATCACATTCCATCCAGTTCCTGCCAGTTTCCTTTCAAGCTTCTGTATTAACAATTCCCATTCTCAGCAATTTGAGTTTTCCTCCTTACCTCAGAAGCAGCACATCTTCCTCTAGTCTGCCCAAGTGTTCGAGTCTAGCTCATCCAGTTCCAACTCCATGGCTTCAGCTTCCCACCTCGCAGTGCTTTCCTGAAGCTGTAGAGACAGACTGCTGTTGATACACACCAGCACAGACAGACTGTGTTGCTTTTGCCCCTAACATAACTACCAGTGGCTCCCACCCTCCTGCGAGGGAATCACAATGCACTAGATAGGAATAGGAAGCAAATCTAATCCAGACTTGCCACGTTCCAGACTCAACGTTTCATTTCCACAACTATAAAGTTTAAATAAGCGTAGGACACTACTAAACACAACTTGTAACTTTAATATTCAAATTCAACACTAGTAAAAACAAACAGAGCACAAATGGGAGAAACACTGTTTACACTAAAATTAATGAAGAAACAAGCCAGTTACAAGAACAGTTCTATTTTTTAGTAACATCTGTTAACCTAGAGCCAACATCAGTACAAGTTTCAATGGCCACATTGTTTGCTTGGGAACTTAAAACTGAATAGTCCAAATT